AGTCTACTAAGCGGCCACCTTTTGGTCGTCCCAACGAGAGTTCTCTCCCATTGTTAATTGTCATCTCCATCAAGCGCTTGAAACACTTAGTTAGGCTTCATTTCAAGAATATGATGAAGGAAAATCCAGTCTTACATAGAAGTTGATGACCGATTGCGGACCAGTAAAATGCTGTTTCTATCGCGTGTTGGTTTCAGAATAAAGTGATGTTTCTGCCTACGAATATGCTTATGCTATGCTAATTTATGCCAACCCTTTTTTTCTGAGCGGCCACTTGCCGGAAGCCCGAGGGTGGCCACTTAATGAAGGTCCAACTGACTGTAGTCGCAAAAAACTAACTCGCTAGATTTTTAGTCAATAGTTCTACTGAAGAACCGAGAAATTCACTGTAGACAATATCGACTCTTTTTTAACATTGGCGCTAGCATGAAAATTCAAAAAAGGTTAGAACATGTTTGGCTATTAGTTCGGCCAGTTTACAATACATTTAACTGCCTACATTGCGAATTACTGTTACCTAACTCTTAACCCGAACTTCTCGGGGAATTTGCAAGAATTTTGCTGTTAGGTACAGTCAATTATCTCTTAAACGGACACCTTTGGCCCGGTACTAATTGTCCGTCTTATAGAGAGTCAAATAAAGGTAGCAAAGAAAGACAGGAACAAACTTTAGGTGTCCGTTTTACAGACTGAGGTGTCCGTTAAGAGAGAGTCGACTGTATTGCTAGCGCACCAACACATGTACTCACCAGAATCGCATTTTGGTGATGCCGACAGCGCAAGTTTTCGTCCCCTTAACCCAAAAACGGCCTTCACCTAAAAAAGCAATAAAAGAAGTAGCATAACATTATATAATATTAATTACAGTTTTTTCAATAAACGATTCGCAAGTGAGAGTGCGGTCTCTAATTAGCTACCAAACTGCACAAGCTGCCGCGCGGTTATACCAAGGGCTACTTTAAGCGAAATGGGAGTTGATTGTTCATGAAATCAATGAACCGTTTCTTCTCAAAATTGCCTCAAACGGGAACTATCCTAACTGTCTGTCTTTTCGTGGCCAACGGCCTTAATCAGAGAGCCCTGCATATTATTTTAATAGTCAACTACAAGCACAATGCATGATTTCCAAGAGTAATTTCTATTTCTTTTTAGGGAATAACAAACTGTGTTCCGTGCGAGTGAAAATGCGTTTGTCATTATTTTCTCTAAAACAAATAATACAGCCTGCGAACGTAGACGTATTTCCGTAAGAGCTAAGTAAGAGCTAAGCTGTGATTGGCTTATAATTTCCTACGTCACAGAAAATCGTTTTGCGGCTCAGGGACGTCGTAGACGTTACTTTTCGGGTAGCGCGAGCGTTCGCGGGCTATGTTAAATGAGACAATTCTCCGGAATCAAGGTCTCTATTAACAGACAAAATGAAACATGGCAGGAATCTCTTGTTATGCGGATTTCCATACTCCATTCCAGACTAAATGGACCGTTATTAAAATAACTCTAATCCAGACCAAAAAAACACCCCGTAGGCTTTCATTGCCTGTCCGTCAACTCAAAAGTTACTATGAACCTTGACAACACTTTACAGTTTAAACTTAAATCAAGTTCCAGATTACAATATCAGTGAAATACTAAATACTAATAATCTGAGGGAAGCTTAAAACAGAATATAAGATTCCATAAAAAATAAGTCGCCACCTGCGATGTCTCTCAACTCAAAAGTTACTATGAACCTCGACAAAACAATAAACTAACCTCTAGTGTTAACTGTTCTAGGTTAAGCAGTTGCTTTCCCTTTGGGTTCTCCAACAGTACCGTGGCTTCATAGCCCTTGGCGCCTTGGGCTGGGTCCACTCCGCAGAGCTTGACATTTACAAACCGACAAACAGGGGTGGTGACGGGCTGTTTTTCAGAGGGAAGGGGAGACTTGTCATGGGTCATGACACCATTTACCTACGGAAAAAGATGTTTTAAAATTACCCTACATCGATCTTAAACTGTACAATGATTCGCGTAACTTCCATTTTTCCCAACAAAATGCACTAGACGTTGTCTCGTGTATCAAACTTACCTTGGTGCAGAAAAATCATTGCTCGACAGGTTGAAAAAAACAGTTGCGGGAAGTGAGGTCAAGTTTTCCTTTTTGAGTTCTTTACAAAGCATTGTCGGGCACGATTAGTATCGCAACTTCTTGTGGAATGCGTTGATCATTTTACCATTTCTTCACAGTTTTAACAGTCAAAAAAGCGCATAATCCAAATTACAACGAGAATAAAGAGACAGGAGTTGAACAAAATTTTACCCGAGAACTTAAGACGCCAAAGATGATGTCCCACGCTTTTTCTTATCGGCAACCCGACAGCATGTGAAGTATCCATTCAAGTCCTTATATTCCTATTCAATGTCATGCAATGCAATGTGTTATCGAGTTTTTTGTCAAGCGCAGTTTGGTAAAACAATAATAAGCTACGTTACAACGTTACAGCTAAGGTTATCAGTCATCACGTGACCCTGTTACACGGTTTGTACTTATCAATTGGCGGCAACTTATTACATTATTTCGTTCTTTTTTACTGATTCCAAAATGAATCATAAATCTGGGCCGGTATCCAAGTCCGAGGGCGCCTAAGACAACTAGTTTCTTCACAAATGTTTCGTAAAGTAAGGAACGGTTTTTAAAATGGTACCAATAAGTTCGTACTGCCATTTAAACTGGGACTATCGCCCCTGTTAAAAAATGTACGCAGAGTAAACAAACCTGGTTATCTTCGACTGTGAACACAGAAAACGGTTTTCCAGGGGCACAATCCTCTTGAGTTCGCTTGTCTGCTTCGCTCGAGGATTTGATAGTCACATTTACCAACTGAAATACAAAACATTGTTCTGTATTGGGAAATGTAATTACCCAATAGCTGTCACCTGAATCACAATGCAGGACTCATCCAGACTAAAAAGTAAAAACCACCTGGCATAGCATTTTAAACAGCACCACAGTAAGTAATGCCCGATATCTTTCGATTCCAAGATCGCATTGAAAGATTTCATCCACAGACAACAAAGTTACAAACACCATGTCACCATGTACAACTTAATAGACAGTGCCACAATTTTTACTTAAGAGGATATTACGGTCAAATGCCTTGCTTCTGCAGATATATTAGAGAAGCTTCCTTGTCCAGAATTCATTCGATATGAAAATGCTTCCATTAGGTTAAGTTCTTGGCACAATCAATTTTTGAGAATTCTTTGTTGATAAAAGAAAGGTTTAAGCGGGCTGTGTCACGGCAGTCCAGTTCATTTTGTTTAATTTTGCCAATTACTCGCCCACACTCACTATGGAACTTAAAGTAAGCAAAGAAATTAGTAATACATGTAAATGACAAAATCAGAGATCCGAGACAAACAAACATGTCTCCTGAGCATTATTTTTGAAGTTGCAAGCAGCAGGGATCAACTTTGAAAAACTGTTAGGCTGAACAGTTTTCAAAAACCCTAATTTCAATCCGTTTCAATCTTCTTCAGTTTTGCCAGTCCGTGGCATCTGTTGTTTCTGTTATGTTATTTCAAACTTCCTTTAAAGTTTTAAGCGGTTATTTTTATCTTTCTCTTAATTTAACGGGTATTTTGTAATTTTCTAATTTGGCTGAATTTCGTGACACAGCTCCTTTAAATAAAGAATATTTTGGGGTGGGGGAAGCGTTACGTTGTAAATTATGGAAAAACACCAAAAACAGAACTGATTCAACCAGAATGATCCCTTAACCAACTCAACACATACTTCTAAAGCTTTGCAAAGGTAAGCCCTGTTTTCTTCCAGCACTTGTCTTTCATCAAAGGGTAGAGTAGTCTCCAGGGCTGATGGACCATCAAGCTCCACACATTCCTGACAAAAATAAAATCATATAGCAACATCATATCAACTTGCCTCACCAACACTGTGGAGAAAATGAATTCAGCCGGATGACACAACATAACCCGAAGTATAAAGCAAATGCATATAATAAACGAAGAACGTTTTAAATGAAACTTGCTAAACCAGGAGGAAGACCCATTAGTCTCAACACGCAGGAATACAGCTGACGAGTTCGAGTTAACGATGTCTCAAAAATAGAAAATAAACAATTCTTATGGATGAAACTGGCATGAAACTATTAATTTTTTTGGTAGATATAATTAACAGTAAACGACAGGTTAAGGGGAAACTTGGTCACATGGTACAAATTGACGAACGGTTTGCTGTTTGCCATAAAAGGGGATTCGAATTACTCAAAAGATGAAATCGACTGTGTTAAAATACTGCTAACCAAGGTAAGATAACGTTCAACTTGACATTTCAGCTCAAAGCTTTTTTCAAGCGTTCTTTTGAAGTTCTTTATGAAGGTGGGGGTGGGGTATTATTTTGCAAATTTTAACGGGAAAATACAGAGAGAAACCGTAGTTATTGTCAATTTATGTATTAAAATATAGCAAGCATTTATTTTCGCCGCAATCACCGTACCTTGACGTGCTGTACAAATGGCATGAGCTTCTTCATGGCACTTTTGACTTCAGGTATTTCTTTCATCCGGTTCATGGTGTCCCTGTTATCCGGGAAGTTCCCACCTAATTGATTGTACATATCTTTGAGAGTATTTAGTGTAGCGTGCTGCCACGGGGGATACGAACTGGCAACATAGATGATTCCGTGGGTTGGTTTGGCAGGTGGGGATGCATCTTTCTGAAGGAAAATTCGCAATAAAAAACTGCATCAAAACTCATGACAGAAATTCACCACCACAATGTGACTTTATTGTTGTCTTTTCTCTGGGGAAAATTTAGCCTGAATATGAATCAAAATTGACCAGACAATGTCTTAGAAAAGGTGCATGTCATTTGCGAGTTGCGTGCGGTTTTGTTGATGACTGGAAAAAGACCACTTGGTATTGCAGAAAGACCACTTCATGCCTCTTGTTCACGCGCGCGCGAAGAGAAATCGGAGCTCTGCTAGTTTGAAATCTGATCAGAGGATCCACGTCCAAAAAGCAGATCACAGTACAGAGCATAACCAGTACCAGTGGATTTTCAGTTCGACTGACAGCTGAACCTTCTTGACGACATTAATGAATCAAAAAACTTCCTGAAAAATAGTTCACCAACTTCGTTCCCAGGGTTCTCACCTACCCATCCCTGGGGAGTGACGGGTCGGAGAGAACCCTGGGAACCAGGTTGATAGTTTACAATGCTCACTCTTGTCACGTGTTAGCGTTGCGTGACCTTCCTTGAGGGGTCGCCAGTAAGGGTTTATTAGAGCTTTGATTGGTGGTATGACTGTATAATTGACAGTGTTTACCTTCTTTCCTTTGGGGTTCATCATAGCTTTGATTCTAACACGAAAATCGTGCGCACGAGCGGCCAAGTAATCAGCTGACTTCAATAACGGCTGATCAATCTTGCCTGCTACCGGCCACGACGCGTCCATGATACTTCCGCTCTAAAACAAACAGCAACGTACGTTAAAAGCGTTTGTCATCTGAGCTGCAACTCTTGGAATCTTCCCTATACCTCCTTCAGTAAGCCATGCGAAGAACACCATTTAAAAATTCACATTTTCTTACTTAATAGTCCGTGAAGTGTTAGCCTGTTCCAGGCGTTCAGATTGTGGGGAGCGAGTTAAATGGTACACGGGCAAAACGAGGGGAAAAAGAGAGAGGTACTGGGTCTCCCCTTGTTTTTTGTGTCCTCAATTTTTCGCCCGCTGAACACTATCTGAACGCCTGGAACAGGCTAGTGAAGTGTTACTGCGTTTCCTATTCAAGTAGCGTACAATCTGTTTTACGTCCATATCTGTTTGCTCATGTCCACCAACTGTTTTTAACAAAAAGAAATCACTGGTTCCAACTGTCAGTTCAAAGGATTCCTAGGAAGTATACAAGAAGACAAATTATATGACGTACCTTTCCGATAAGCTCCCAAAGGTGTTCAGCGAGGTGAGGACAGATTGGGCAAAGCAACAGAGTTTGTACCTAAAATTACAATAACAAGGATCTCATTGCATTGGAAGGGAATAAACTAAACATCATGATGGATCGCTGTGATCATGGACGATAAATATTAAGCCCTTGTTAGTATTGCATCTATCAAGGTTTTGCCCGAGGTTGGTTCCTGATAATACAATGACTAGGGTCCTACCAAACTTCCCGCTTTCTATCAGGTGTGTATCATCCCTTCAGAGCTCTTCAGGTGACAGGCTGAAATGCGATTATTATATGCAACCAATCCGGCGAGATCAACCAGAAGGGAACAAGGAAAAACTTTAGAGTTACTGCTAGATACAGTCCTCAAAAAGGAATAGGGAGCCCAATTCTGTTAAAACGTCTTCGACTATTTGTCGAAACAACGTATACCTAGGTATGACGCTGCGCTAGTATACCAATGAAAGCATGCACCTGGTCGTCCTCGTAGAAAAAAAAAAGGTATGCATGCGCCTACAAACGTTCTTTTACCGAAATTTAGGGAGAAAACAGGTTAGGAAATCAACACAAGACAACGTGCGAAATCAGATGTCGAAGCCATTTACTGAAGGACTCTTTACAACTTCCCCTCAGTCACTGGAGTACTCTTGAGCAACCTATGCCAAGTCCACAAACTTTTGGCCTCGACAGCAATTCCTGAATGTTATTTCAACACGAAAAGTATTCGAAGTGTACCTCCAATTTCCCGAGAGTATTTAGGAAATACGGTCTCCCTCGTTGAATGTGAGTGGCTGAGACAAGTGCAAGATTGATAATTTCTCACAAGACTGCAGGGGACCTTACCTCAATGAATCTAAAGACAAGCTCCTTATGCATGCCCGACATACAGCCCTCCCTGTATCGGTCCCTGGCGGCCTGTAGTTCGTAGAAGCCTGTCTTTAGCGCCTCTCGGTACATCATGCTCTTATAGTTGCTGTCTGTCTCTTCGATTGCTTTGTTAATGGAACTGCAGAGATAACACAGAAAGGCTCAAGTCTTTAAACAGACAATAAAGACACTAAGATCAATAGCTTAAAAGGAGTTAAATCACCCTGAAGCACTCTACAACAAACAGAAAGAACTGTTCAATGAACTGTAACATTAATATCCACTTGATCGTTTGTCCTAGTATGAAAATGGTTTGGGCCCTCAACAAGGAAGAGAAAAATCTCCGGTGAAGGTTTCCTATGGTTCTACGGTACTTTAGGATAAACACTGTCGTTTTCTGGTACAAAATAAGCTCAGCTCAGATAACCCGGGAAAATAAATAGACAGTAATGAAAAAAAAAGCTAACAAACTCAGTTAAGTGAGGTTCCCGAGGACTGGAAGTGGTTAACAATTACTATAGGATTTAATGGAGCCGAAACTAATTTTGGAATTGCACACATTTTAGGCATCCTACTGATGAACAGTTGTGACTTATAGATACATAGATTTCCAGCAACAACAACATTTTGCCACCTACCCTCTTTGAATAAAGATTCAAAATGACCGGCGATTTTATTGTATTAAATGTGTTGTCCTTTCCAATCGCCTTACATAGTAATATAGAAAAGAGATACTCAGCTATGACGACATGCTTCCTTACGCACCTTTCAAACACACGATCATCAAAACAGTCTGTTGTTCCAGTGCGAAGAGTGTCTTTGGAAGAAAGCATCTCCTTGTTTTTGACAAAAGTGGTACAAGTTAGGTCAAATGTAAAAGATAACGAAAGTGAATGCGTTGCGTCGCGCAGTAAACGTGAAACGTGAACGATCAATCAATCAATCAATCAATCAAAAACTTTATCAAAGTGTCAAACTAGCTAGCCTAGGGTAATACCCCTCTACTAATTGGGGACACGAAGCTTGGTTAAAATTTATCGGGTCGATCATCCTATCTACAGGAAAGGCCATTTAAAATGAACGCGAGCAGGCGACTTAGATCCTCCTGAAAGGTTGTCGCCAAGCATTCCCGAAAAAGACTGGACCTGATTATGATGATGATGACGATTACGATAAGGGGACATTGATAATGACGCGAACGGTAACTGTGGTACCTGATCATTTGGTGCTACAAGTTCTAAATCCGAAGGTCCCTTCGCAAAGTCGCAATGCTGAAGTAAAAACCCCCTGAGTGAAAACGAAAAATAGTGTATTCAACCGAGGGCCTTTATAATTCTAACCTTTGTCCACTCAAGGAAGGTGAAAAGACGCAGAATTCCAGCATCAGCCATCTTTTCAACAAAGTTGGCGTCTTCCATGGTGTCACCAGCATCGGCTAGGGCTAAACGCATACCTAACAGAACCAAAAAAAAAAAGAAATTACAAAAACAATAACTTCTGACTAACATTCCACAAATTCACTGTGAAAACTAGCAAGAAAATGCTGCTGGACCTTGTTAAAAACAATTACTGATGGCCTAAACTTCCCACTAATAAACAAGCAGAGGTTTCTTGCTCACTGCACCCGTTTTTCCTCGCTTCAAAACGGCTTCATTCTCTTCTTGATTGGTTCGCTGCATTGTCTTTTCTTGCTTGTGACTGGCCAGAGAATCGCTTAAAAATCACTTAAAAGTGCTCATTCTTTCAAGAACTATTAACTTACCATCAGCGGAGAACTTGTCAATTGCTTGTCGGAGGGTGAGGAAATTCCCCGTCGATTTCGACATCTAAAATAACAGAACAAACCTTATACTCAGCAACTGAAAATGCATTCTCCACAAGACCACTCTTGTGCTTCCCCCCACAGTTCATCACACAAACTCACGCGTTTTACATAAATGCGTTACCACTGTTCATAAAAAAAAAATTGCAATCATTTTTTAAGGACTTTTCACCGACCACCTACCAGGAATGTAGTGTCACAGATTGTACAAAAATGTATGCACATTCCCAGTCCATTCTAACGGGAATTTAAGGCTTGAACTATTTGCTCCACCAACATTTTACAGTTCACTTGTATTAACTTGATGTAAATCACCTTTAACTTGTCTGAGCTATGATTTATATTCGGCTAGGGCAACCAAAAAGCATTGAAAAACACTTTCCAGGCCCCTTCATTAAAAGTCGAAGAAAAGGAATTTCCGGCGTTTCAGTGGATACGAATTATCCGGAAATGAAATATTTCTCCGGCACGAGAGCAGTGCGGACTGGGGCAGTTGAAGTGCAGTATGGGTATAATGTATTGTTATTTCTGCGGTGCTCGGCCGAAACAGCCAAAATAAACCTAATGGTTTTTCTATTCATGTTGTACTGCGTAGTGGAGCCGAAATAATTTGAGGACTTTTCATTAGAAATTTAAGGACTTTTCAAGACAGTGCGAACCTTGATTACACTCTTTTTTTTTATAAGAATATTGTTTTTCCGGCCCAGGCTGAATATTCCTATTTTTCTGCCGATTTTAGGCTGAAAATATTTTTGTATTATTCTTACATTATAGCTTATGACATTTCCATTTTAGAATTAACTGGGGTATCAATTACAAGTGTTTGGTATCTAGATCTGTGCTGAATACTGTACATATGTATTACATGTACCGTTCATCGAACTGTTATCAGGTTATTAACGTTGAACATTTTGCTATAGCTAGTGCAGGTTTTTTTCGTTTTGTTGGCTAGTTTCGCCGTTTAGAGAAAGGAATAATTTTATACGGTTAAGTTAAAAACATAAAATTGTATTCTATTTACAGATGTTTCAACACACAAAATTATATCTATCCTTTTCAAAATCTCACTCAGCCTCGGCTTTATTCTTAAACTATTCTTAAAATTTCGCAAATTTCAGCCTCGATATTCTTATAAAATATATTCTTATAAAAAAAAAAGAGTGTACCACAAGTTATTCTACTACATGAGAAATTTCTGTAATTTGATTGGCTTAGAGCAGTGGTATTTCAGCTTAATTTGAAATACCTACATGTGAAGATTACAAACCTCTTGCGGGTAGTAGTATAAACAAATAATAGCATGATTTGTACGTGATATTTGGCATAAATAACACTCGTGATATTTCAAAATTGTCTCAAATTTCACTCGCCACGTATAACAATTTTGAAATATCACTCGTGGTATTTACGCCAAATATCACTACTAATCATGCTATTACCTATACTAATAGTACTGTAGTACCATGTAAACTATTTGGGTGTCAGAAGAATAAATTGCTGGCGAGACTTATGCGACCCAACACACTATTCTCTACAATAGCGGGAAAAAGCCAAAATTTGTCGGATGTAAGATCAGATACATGCGCAGTGAGTGGATTGCTTTTCTTATTATCCGGGGTATTCACTCCAGTGCGATGACATCACGTAAAACGCACGTGGAGGAGATCGAGAGATTTCGAGTAAATTTCCAGAGTGCAAGCAGATTATAAATGAGGTGAGCGTTTAGTGATTGCTTTTTTTATTTTTTAGATGTCTTTATTTGCTTGTGGAAGTATTCATCAAGGTCTCGATCCAGAGCGTTTTAGGAAGATGAGATGTGTCATGATGTGTTTGGCTGCTCCATTTGCCGATTCGCGAACAAGTTGAGGTGCGAAGATATCGAGCAAATCCTCCTTCATGGAGATAGTTTTTTCTCTGTGCACTCAGTAGAAGTGATGTGCCAGGCAAAAATTCTTCTGTTCGGAGCAAACTGCCCACTCTAGCTTGCTGGTCTCGGGAGAAAAGAGAGAAAAGGTGCGAAGCAAACGCAAACCAGCTTTGCGTCTAAAGCGACTTGTAACCACATGCAATTAATAATCCAATCATCAAAGTATTCTTCGCCCGTTGAGGCGTTAAATTTGATCGTTGTGTCAAAATCTCTGCCCCGTTGAGGTAAATGATTCAGGTGATAATTTGACCACGAGTAACATTGGTCCTTTGAGGCGAAAGACAAGACTGGAACCATATGGATTCAACATGTGTATCGCTCTTTGAAGCTAATCCTTGGCTAACCATTCAACTGTAAAATTATTTGACTGTCGCTTTGGCAAGCGCCTGCTACGCAGGCTACCGTCGGGTCCAATTGTTTTTAAACCTTTAAGGGCCTGTTTGCATGGAGGTGGGGGACCCCAGGTAGGTGAGGTAACCCACTCGGGTGGGGTAACCCTCCTGTCCATACAATCTCTCACATGGTTACCCCACCTATCATGTAAACGTGATCAAATTAAAATAAGAGATTATATGGTCTTATATGGACAGGCGGCTTACCCCACCTAACTGGGGTTCCCCACCTCCATGTAAACAGCACTTACTTTCAAATTGGAACTCCTAGAATGTACTTTTTTTTCCAAAGAAGGCTCAATGAATCAAGGGCAGAAAACGAGTATCGACCACAAACGTGACAGTGTAATAATTCCCACAATATGATACAAAAACAACTAAACTCCACAAACCGAAAACGTTTTGATCCTAAAGTGCGCGATCTAAGGCCCGGTTCAAACGCCGAACTTTTCATGAACTGAACCTAATTCGAATTAAGGTCGAACCAAATTATTTAGACAGGCTGAATTGATTCAGACGCCGTATAACTTAATTAAGGAGAAAAATGCTCATTTCGTCAAACTGCTTACAAAATGCGTCATAATAATTTATGCATTAGGAAAAGTTCGGCGTCTGAATCCAAGCTGTTCCAAAGTGGATCCAATGTGCAAATTCTCGGCCGGGCTAGGTGGGAAGAACGGCTGTGCCGCTCCAAATTGTTTCAGGCGTTCCTAACGGATTCAAACGCCCAACTTTTCATGTACTTAATTCAATGTATTACGTTCGGCTCATGAAAAGTTCGGCGTCCGAACCGGGCCTAAGCTCGTAAAATTATGTTGCCATGGTTACCTTTTCAGAGTTAAGCAGTAAGTGTCCATTAGCTCTCACACCTCGTGGCCACCTTTGGGTGATAAAAAGGAGAAATGTCTTGTGTTTATGAAATATATGATGAAGTCAACGATGAATAATGCTTGTTGAAACAAGTAATTTTAAATAAACACTCCTAAATTCGTCAAACAACAGACGAATGAATGAAAAAGTTACATCGAATGAATGAAAAAGTTACATATGTGGCACCCGTTTTAATTCCCGACGACTTCAACGTCAAAGACGCTTCTAAACAGCTTCAGTGTTTCATCGTACGAACTTCACCGGCCACTATGCCGTATTTTGCGTCCTACTTATATATTTTAGTGGGTTCCTCTCAACTAATCTTAAACTGGAAAATATAAAAGACCATAACTTTCCGCACGCTAACTGCACCGCAGGTATTCAAGTCATGTTTTTTGATTTGTTGTTGCCCAGCTATGTCGATAAAATGGCTGCCGAAGATCGGAAGAAACAAGAAAACTTCAACTAGACGACTCAAGAGTACTAAACATAAGTTTGAATGAACGCTTGTTTTCGTCGAGTAAAATCCGCTCATCTCCAGCAATTTAATGCCGAACTTAACTTCATAATTCTCACTTAATTCTTCGAACTGCGAAGACAAAGCCGCATTTGATAAATGGAGGCTAAACGTTTTTTTCCTAAAAGAAAAAGACTTTTGTTACCCTACGGAGGCATTGGCTGTCCTTCCTCTCAATACTTTTCGGCATGGAGGAGCGACAGCCGGAAGTACGTGCGCGTTTGCAAACGGAAGTTAGCTGATTCATTTGTATTTAAGACTCACTTGTCTTTCTCATTTGGCCAGACAGCACAGTGATTGTAGAGGAAGTAGGTCAAGTGATTGGGTACCAGGTCTTTCCCAGATACACGCAGGTCAACTGGGTACCAATACTGGAACTCTTGTCGTAATTTGCTAGAGAAAAAAAGCATGATCAATATGATCAGAGCAAAAGCATACAAAATGAACAACAACAACAGGTGTACAATGTAGCTTTCGGAAATTTCACCCTGACCTTAACCATTTCTAACTGAGCCTGCTCCTAAAAGGTTCGTCAAATAAGGACAAAAAATAACGCAATGAAAATTAATGAGAGTTCTCTGCTTTGCCAACAATTCATCCCAAACTCTTAAGCGTTATTGAAGACTTCTGCACGCAAAAATCAATCCGGCCTTTTTTACGATTTTAATAAACGAGCCTCAGTGTACACAATCAACATAAACAGACATACTGCAGGCGAGGAAAAAGACGCGTAACGGGGACAGTGATCACCATTTTCAGACCAGATCGTCTCAGCTGCTAAGCTTAAAAAAAAAAACAGAAAAACAAAAAACAAACAGAAAAGTGACAGTTTGGTGCGGGTAAGTCGACAAAGGCTGCAAGTTCCATTCTATTCGACTGAAATAAATTCCACGTCTGAAACTAAGGCCCGTTTCAAAAGTGGTGCTACTGCCGTGCCGAACTAAACTGACCGAATTAAATTCGACTTTAGAACGGCAGTAGCTCGACTTGGTTTCAAACGCCGCGCTACTGCCGTGGTGAACTCAATTCATAAATTATGAATACATTAGAATACATTTAAAAGTTTGCGAAATCGTTTCTTTTTTTTGGTTTGTTTTGTTTTCGGCAAGAGCCGTTGTATTCGACTGAATTGAATTCGACGTCTGAAACTAAGTCGTGCTAGTGTCGTGCTGCAGTCGAGCTACAGTCAAGCCAGCTTAGCACGGCAGTAGCACGACGTTTGAAACAGGCCTAAGAAGTTATAAAGTGAAACTTAGCATCGGATGTCAACATTTGTTAGAAATAGGAAGTTTGCGATGTTTCGATAACACTGCGATAAAACTGACAGAACTTGAAACACTTAAAAATACGCCATACAGACTTTTCGTTTCGCCTTAAAATTCAATTACAAAACTAAAATCATACTCGGCTTTTCTAATACAGCAATTTTAATCTGATGTTAATTCTTATGAAACGAAAGGGCAACCATGACCTTAAAGCATACACTTTATCGACGTTAAAAGAGGCATTTTTTCGTTAAACTAATATGTATCAACGAACAGTGAGCAGGGACACACCTTCATTTGCAATAAAACAGCAATTTCACAATGTTTTTTTTTTTCGTTAACTTATCATTTGCATTCGTCAATAAGATCTCTGCAAGTATTCAAAAACGATGATTCAACCAAAATTATTTTGTAAGAGCGTTAAATTGCCTGGATGTTAGACCCAAAGTAAGATTAAGTTTCTTTCCACTGGAAGGAGTCAAAGTTCCAAGAATGCCACTGCAAAAACCGGTCTGTAGAAATTACAAGTTTTTGGTCTACTCGCACCGGTAGGACACAAATCCGAAATTAAGGTGTCAGCATGGTGTGGCCGAGCAACGTTGTGCAAGAGACGTGGACAAAGAAATCCTAATGGCAAGCCCCAAGCCTTTTTATTTATTCTCCAAAGAACAAAAACGCACAAGAAAACTAAAGAAGAGCATTTGCAGAGTTCTCTTGGAACTTCTTAGTCTCTTATCAAAATTCTAGTACATTTAATTTTTCACTAGGCATGGGGAATTTCAGTAAACCTTTTTTTTTTTTCAAAAAAACTGCGATTTCATTACGAAGATTTTAATCTAAAGGTGTGAGATATTAAGGCGAGGAGTATAACAATAAATATTTGTAAAACCGCCAAGAAATCTACTATATTATTCTTTTAAAGACAGCTGTTTTTTCCTTTTGGTACATAGATGTACTCGCAGATTTTCATTAACCTTTTGCACGAGATAATCTAAACTTAAAAAAGGCCATGCATATAGTTGTCAGCGACTTATTGTGCATCACACGACTTCCACGCTAAAGCGTAAATTAATCTTAACATTATTTCCCAACACAACACAAAAAGCAATTTCATAAAATAACCGTAAGAGTCCTTGAAGAAAAAAAAATTTCCATAACAATACTACTCACATCCTTAAGCAAATATCATAAACCAGGGGCACCCAACGGCAATTTTCGGGAAAATATCTGTTCGGAAGACGATTTGAGATCTAGAATTTTCGGAGCATTTGTTGTAAAATTTCTTGCTTGCCTGCCTCTCCTAGGATTTTCGAAGATCTACAAAATGGTATAATTACCCATTTTCAACGGATTTTGACCCTAAAAAAAGGCCACCTAGAATTTTCGGGAGCCTTTTCCTGACTGAAATTTTCGAGAAGGTAAGTTTTTATCCCTATAATTTTCGGATCACTAGACTTTCAGCTAGGAAATCCGAACAGATGAAAAGTTTTTAGGGGATAAAAATATGCCTATATGTACCGTTTGAATACTAAAATACGTTCAACAATGCTATGTTAAGTGGTTTTGAACTATATCCTCGTTGGGTGCCCCTGATAAACTTTTTCACATCATAAAACGAGTACGGAGAAGACTTGAGTTAATACATGAAATTTTATTGTAGTTATGGAAACATTCACTGTCCATACAATTTTCTTGTTTCCTGTTGGTAGGTACCTCATCTATCCGACTTCCTTGTAGTTTTTGCTTTTCATTGGTTCGGACGTATATCTTTCATGCGGAGACGCTACTGAAGCGTTTTTGAACGCATTGTTTTGTTCATATAATCCTTCTTGCTTCAATCTGTTATAAAATCCATTGGCCTTTCTCTTACCAGAGCGCTATTGTCTCCTAACATAAAGGAAACATTGAAATAAACTAAGGGGATTTCCGAAAACACAGCCCAACTTGTAAACTATGTAAAACAGCTCGATTGTCAATTGACAAAACAAAACGAGATGAGGAAGGAAGACACAAGGGCTTCCCAACAATTGCTTTCGTTTCAACTTGGACTTGATCTTAGCACGATAACACGACAATCCACTCAAAATACCTCCCACGACAGAAGAGGGTCACGCTGTTTTCAAACTAAGTTGTGCTTATTGATAAGGGCGCTAACCAAGCAATGAATATGCTGTTTTGGTCATGACGTAGTCCCACCACAGGCATTGAAAGAGGATGTTACAGAACTGGGAACATATCCCGCTACAGTTAAATAAGAATAAGATTAAAAAAAAATACAAATGATGAATTACAAACATTTATAAGAACTGCAAAAAATGATGGCAAAAATTTTAAGATTGAGATTGGTGTTTTCGTAAGACACAGCAAGCCAAATGATTCATGTTTCCAGGCACTTTGTGGTAATCTGTTAATCTAATAACACCCAAGAGAACAATATACAGACCTTGACAAATCTCACGTACACATTATCCAAGCATTTAATAAACCAAGAAACTGAAAAACTTAACATTACAGGGTAATATGGAAGTCACGGAGTAATAGAAATTATAAATTCAGTTTCGCAGATACAACAAACTTCCCGATATATATTTCGATATAACGCGGAATCCCCCGGTAAAGCCAACCTCCTGATGTAACGAACGAGGCAACGAACCTATAAAAAACGTATCTCGTTATAATAATAACGAGCCTCCCGATAACGAACCACGAACCGTCCGCTATAACGAACCTCCCGAAATAATGAACCTACAAGAAATAAGAAATCTTGTGATCATAATATAACAAGCTCCCGATAACGAACGAACCTTCCAATATAACGAACCTCCCGAGAAATAACGAATTTAGTGATAACAATATGGTCCCGAATAAAACGATCTTTGTGATAATTATATAACGACCCACACCATATAACGAACCTCGTGAAAGACTGAGAAATTATTAAAATTAACCAGGCTGTTCAGTTTATAGTATATTTGCAAGAGCGTTTTTTGCCCTTTACGAGGTGCTGGAATAATAATATAACGGTTTACAATGTGAAAAGATGGATAGCATTATGAGGCGACGAAAACGGATAATGAAATTTTTTAAAAAAATCGCACCAGTTTATATACTTAATACCAATGGAAAATACATGATGAAACAACAATAACAACAACGAAAAAAATTTTATAGACTTTTTCTCTACATTTACCGTCTCATCACAGCTCACTTTCTGCTTAACTTATTCTCTAACAACAAGCCATTTTTAAAACTTTGTAATTTCAATTCAATTTTTGGTATAAGAGGATGCTGGTGGTAAATAAAGTTTGTCGTTCGACTTTCACACTAATTAACAACACGATGCAAAATGTTGAACAGAACATGCGCGCAAGATATCTTTACCAGGAAACCGGGTGAGAGAGACAGTTTCTTTTTAGTTTTAATCTAGGCTTTGAAATATGATACAAAGTTAGCATTTGTACTTTTAATAACGAAGTGCTATGCACAGTGCGTAGAAAACAACCCATCTGCAATATGTGACTGCTCTTAAATGCAGAGAAAATTCTCTTTTGTGACACGAAGTCTTAGAGATCAACCAGTACACTTTCACTACTGCTGGCGCTGCCTAGCAGCTGTTTCAGACAGGAGCCGATTACAGTAATCGGCTCCTGTTTCAGACAAATCACAAGCGTGGAACTGCTCGTTCGTATCGCTCGCTCGTATCCTATCAATAGCTGTATGGTGTATGTATTATGAAGGCAACAGAGAACTAAACAAAAAACCGCGTAAAACAAAACGTAAAATACAGTGGAACCCCGTTAATACGGTTACCAATGGGCCAAAAAAATTTGGCCGTATTAACGGGGTGGGGTAGCCGTATTAACGAGGGTTTTTTTTTTTTAACAAGAAACAATTTCTTAATGCAGCACAACACTAAGCGACATAATGACTAACAATTTCCGCACGGAACGGAACGCGTTCGACACGAAAAGGAATAGCTCATCTTTTCCAATCTTGCGCCCATATTACTTAGAGGAGCCTGGTACGCAGGTTAGTTGTGTTAAAACAACAAGTTCATTTGTACATATCTCGAAATATATTGTCACAGTAATCCCTAAAAATAGTTGACGTTCAAATCCGAAAACTGTTGCGCTACGGGTCTCAAATAACAAATGAATTACTTTTGTTTCAAAATGTCTTTTTTGATGTATTCGAGTGATTACAAACCAAAATACCTACAAAAGGTTAGTGTGTCGATAAAATTCCAAATAACATTGGTTGATCAGAACAACTTTGTGGTACATTTCTAAATAGTGTTTTGGTGCTGCAAAGATGCATGATCTTATCTCATCTGTAAGTATTTAGATTTTTTTTCATGAGTAGGGACGGATTACCACTGTCGCGTAATTTTTTTTAGAGGAACTAATGTATGAAAGGTCTCGCGTGAATGTAAGAGTTGAACTGACCGCGTCAAAACTTAAACGTTTGCGCGCGACCTTTCATACATTTTCTCTATTTTATTTATGCACGTTAATTTTACGCCCTTACGCACGTTAAAATTACGCGACAGTGGAAATCCACCTCACGACTATCAACATTAACGTAAGACATTTCCCGAAATGTAGTGTTTATTTTGCAATGATGAATCGTTTTGGACTGGATAGTTTTAATAATTACGTCAAGATTCTACCCATTTGATATAGTAACCTCTCAAACAAAACCAAATCCCTAATAATTACAGCTATTAGTTCACGATAATTCAAAAGCTTTTAAATGACGATCGCGCAGCAAGGCACGGCAAGACAGCTCTAAATTGCTACTTCCACTGGCTTATTAAACAGCTTTAGGCTCAAGAGCGCGCTTACGGATGTTCAATTTGCAACACATTTGCCCATACTTATCTCGACAGGTTCTTATCAGCTGCTACTAAAGAGCTAACGACAGAAAACAATTCTACCGACAAAACTGAATTTTAATCGAAGCAAAGCGAATTTACGACCTGTAAAATCTATTGTTTATCATTCTACATTTAACTGATAACATCTTCCGCATAATCGATTTTCTTTGGCGCATGTACATTTCATACTTATTTTTTACAATTCTTTTTGAGAAATGCGCGTGTCGTTATTTCGTCCGCTAAAATCTGTTCAGTATGGTATCTGAAATCTGAAGCATCGCGTCTTTCACTTTGGCCACAGAGACTAATTCATTAAAAAGGTTAGTGAACCAATGTGGACATATCAACAAGAAATGAGCTACTAAAGCAGATTAGATGATCGGAGAAAACATGGAAAGGAAATGAATGCAGTACTTTATATAGGATACTCTTCAGGGAATTTCGGCGCGAAGGTCAACTGCTAAAACCCAATTAACGGGAATAAAATGCAACGCCAAATGCAATTGACTTCTCTTAAAATAAGAGGAGGATAATGCGGCGAAAGAAGGACAAAATGTTATCGTATATTGGACTTGACGTAAAGTAAGTGAAAAGTACTTACTTCATCGTTAATAGCGAAAGCCAAGGCCAACTGGGACATACTCGTAATACACCTTACTTATGCAAGTCTAATTACGACTTAATACAACACATGAAGACTAGGATTAAATTACTGAAGAAGCCTTTTGTGGCGAAAACGAGCATTTGTTTGCTGTGTACGCGATTTCGATCACGAAAGCACCAAAAACAACTGTTAGGAAATAGAAGTTGATATTTGGAACTCAACACATTAGGGCTTTTACTACCCAACATGATGAGACAATGTCAAAGAAGCAATCAACCTGTCAAGACAAAAATAGCCAGGGGCTCTTTTCCGACAATAATTATGACAAAAACCTCTCTACTTCGTATCAGTTACAGATAGACGCCTAACACACGCACTGACCAATTCAATCTTGTTGAGGAAGACTTGTATATAACGCTACTAGTACTGCAGCTTAACATACGCCTCAACAGAGAAATCTCGTGTAACCGAACAAGCTGTAGCGTAAGAAAGACACACATTTTTCACTCTGTGTTACCTTTTTCCCGGAATTTTTTTAAATTGTTTTCATTTAGTTTGTAATGATTTCTCTTCACAGCGAGACACCGGGGAGACATCACTGTCATCTCTTCAGGAAACAACATCGGGTGAACTCAAAAAAGAACAATTTGCATTGAAAAGTTTCTAGCGACTTCATGCTTTGGGCTGCAAGACGCTCTTAAAGATGTTATCACTATCGGATCGGCGTTTATCTTAGAAAGCGCAAACAACATCAGCTGGTAGCAAACTGGGTGTCAGTCAACCTTTTTTTTTTTCACGTCAACTGAAATCGTACTCATGGGAAACAGGACAAAATTGATGCGAGAGCAAGACTTCACCGCCGATGAAGGCTCGTTCGGAAGCGGTGAACTTTCGGGAGACGAAATAGACATGGAAGAATTCAGCTTGGAATTCGACACATTTCCAGTCGTACTGGCGTGCTTCATCGTCATCTTAAACGTAATGGTCATTGTAATGTTTATTCGCAACCGCTCTCTTAGAACTGTCGGTAACTCGTTTCTTGTCAGTCTAGCTGTAAGTGACTTATTGGCAGGTCTAGTTGGCATTCCGCTCGCCATCACCTGTACCATCTTCGGAGACAACAACGTTTGTCCGCCCTCTGTATTAATATGGCGATTTATCTCAGTGTCCACAGTTCTACATATTGTCCTTGTCTCTGTGGATCGCTACATTGCTATAAGACACGCCATAAGATACCACTGCATCATGACACGAAAAGTGTTCTTTGCGCTCACAACCCTGGCGTGGATCTCGGCCACATTTGTGACCCTTATTCAACTATCATGGCGGCAAAATGCTAGCATGAACGAAGATGACACAGATGAGGTAAATAAAGCGCAGATAGCATACGACCTGATAGTTGTTGTTATATTTTTCGCGGTTCCCCTCCTTGTAATGGTCTTCACCTATGCGCACATTTTTATAACAGTCCGGTACCACGAGCGGCAGATAAGAAGATATCACAGTCCCTCAGATCCTGAGTTGACGCCTGCGCAAAATAGCGCTCAGCGCAAAACAGCCATCATCTTTTTAGCAATGTTGATCGTGTTCGTTGTATGCTGGCTTCCATATTTTATCTTGAGCCTCCAAGAGCAGCTAGCACATGCAGCCGACTTGCCTGCTTGGGCATCGTATGTCTTCTATCACTACACTCGCTTCTTTACATCCCTGTCCAACCCACTGTTATACGTCCTTGGAAAAAAGGATTTCAGGGAAGCTCTGAATCACGCACTTTGTAAGAAACACAAATCAAGAACTGAAAGTCGAACAAGCATGACTATGACGGCTTTATATACTGTAGAAAAAACAAGCGCCGATACTCATGGATCCGAACTTAAACTATACCAAGAGTAAGCGAAAGCCATTTGAAGTTACGTTGGTAAATATTTTACTATTTTCTTTTGACTTTTTTTATCAAAGTGGAATTATGAGACCATTTAAGTTTCACTGCTGGTTCCTATTCATCTGGAGATTCACAGTTTAGTCGACTACATCAGATGAAAGTTCGCCCCCACATTTTCATATGGGCCCCAAGTCCCTGACATTTTTTTTGACAGCTTTTACCGTGAGAGAACCGGCAAAACTCCTTTCTGGATAGTCAGTTGTCGTTGAGTCCAATTTTCCTACGTCGACCACAAAATATCGGACTAGACGAAAGACCTAGAAAGAAATTAAAGTTACCGCGACACTGTGATGAGGTTTTAAGTTTCGAGTATGTAAAGCCTGTACATGAAAGGAAAATGAAGGGAGTAGTGAGAATATCAGGCTGGCGGAAAATAACAAATAAAACTAATTCTGGAGCTGTTTGCAGAACAGTTATCCAAGAAATTCTGTGCAAATTGTGAAAGTCATTGTCCTATAATCTCACAAATGCAGAATTAAAAGAATTTCTAAGGTAAAATATGGGAAGCATTCTTGCAAATAATTAACTCCCTAAGTGAGAGAAGTGACATATCTTCAGAGCTTCAGAAGTAAATTAGAAAAAAAGATTTACTAGACTTGTGCCAAGTGGACAGTGATAGTTGTAACGCTAGTGAAACGTGTAATCGTTAATACCACTTAGGATATACAATGTTCATATTCCCATTATTATATCTTTTTATTAATTGGAGTAAGAATTATTTATTTGAATTATTTTGTGTACGCGTACCCGATTAGTGGAGCACTGGTGCTCGTCTAGAAGAGCTCGGTATTTTAATTGAGTTGTTGTTGTTTGTTCGTTGCAATGTTTTGTATAAACCCTACAAATAACTTTAATCTACTTCTAAGTATTCTGAAAAAAAAAACTGACATTAAATTCTAAGTGAGGATAAGGGAACACTTTTTTAATTCCGTCGTTATTCAAAACCTGTTTGTTTTCTTTTCTTGCGAAGAAAAGGAGAAAATTTAAATGTAGATGTAACAGAAAAATAAAAAATCCTAGTGATATTTTCAACTTTATTTAAAAAGCTTTTGAAAAAAGATATATATTTTTGGGGTTAAAACAATGGGTAAACAGCAGGACAAACTAAACCACGAAAATTTAACGAGAATATTCAACGACAAATTAGTCGTGATGCCTGAATAAAACAGCGCGAAAGTCGAACACGCACGCGATGTGACATTTAATACTGAATACAAGCGCAGCTGGACAGGGCTTTTTCATATTGTAAAATAGTATTTTTAAAGCCCTAGGCAATTTTGCTAAGACATTTAAAGCTAAAACATTCATTTGATGATTAGGGTGATTTTATAAGGCACTTATCAAGCCGTTTTGTATCGAATCAAAATTAATTTCACTTCCCTTGTAACTGGATGTTCTTTTTAAATAATAACATAGTCACCCTTTGAGATGACTATTTCATTGCCTTTGGCACGGTTTGCCGGTCTGAGTACATGATAATAACAATCGGTCAACACTAGATAATAGTCTGATTAAGGCTTCAAGATATTTGTCTGGAAACGATAAACATCTTTTAAGCTTTTCACCATCTTGTTGGCTGTAAACTGATTACAACACTCAGCTTTGGCTTGAAAAATATCACAATGAATTTGTGGATACAAAATAACAGAGCTGAGAGTATAAGTCTACTTCTTTTTAGATTGATTCAAGGCGGAAATAAATTCCTGAAAAAGGAATAACGAAAGGGAGCGCCAGGATTTTAACCAAAAAAATGCTTGCTATTTCTGGGCGGAAATAATAATCGTAATGCGCTAAAAGCTCGTGTCGTTTACGTGTCAAACCAAAACTTATTAGATATACCACAAAGAAAGTAGGGTCAACCATTACAAAAAAAGGAATTAAAAAGAGGGTGTTAAGTCGTAAAATTTTCGACTTCATTGGTTTAGTTTTTATAGACAGAGCTACATATTGTATGGAGTAATCAAGGCATAACAAAGCAGCGGTTTCTTTTTCTTAACCTGCCTCTAGCGAACTCGCACTAACAAGGTGTGGTACTGAGAATTGCAAAAGTAGCTTTTGGGAGGTAACAGTTTTGACGATCTATCGCCAACTGAAGAAAAATAAACATAGGATAGCGGTTATCAACCAACCCTCACGGACAATTTTTCGGTCCTCAAAAAATGCAGAAATATATTCGAATGCCTTGTCTACGAGATGCTATTTATACAAGAACTCAAACCGAACGTGCAATCAGAAGCTTTCCTCTTAAGAAATCTACATAATAATGAAGCTCTTTCGACAACTTTGACACTAACATTTCTCACTCTTGATAATGATTTTCGTAACATCGAAAAGTCGAGTAACGTTCTTAAGTTTAATTTTTCTGGTTTTCTTATCAGCAAGTACTAACCTACAGCCTTAGTCAAAATTGTTTGGACACTTAACGGTCTTCTCACCCTCCCAATGTTCGTGTACAAGATTTGGTGAGTTAACTGCGATAAACGACATTGGGAGGACGAGAGACGGGTCAGAATTGCCGAAAAAACAGCGTTGGGTGAAAGTGTCCGCAGGAGACTGTAGCTGCGCCAACGTCTCCCTTTCCTACAGTCCTAAACAGCATAGCCAAATATTTGTCGCAGGTAACAATATGACAAAGGACAATAGCAAAATTTCATTTCCGTAAAGAAGAATGTATCAGATACTCACTCGAGTTTTCCAGCTGAGATATCTGTTTTTGGAAAAGGGGCATCCTTGAAGAATACGTAATCCCACACTTCACGGGTCATTTGTTCGGCCCTGAAAGGAAAAATACAACAAGATTGCAAAACGATCAAGCAAAACGCGTTAGATGATAATTAATAATAAAAGATGGCGGAAAACAATGGCTTTGTGTCCCCCAAATTCAGATTTCAGGTTTTTTGGCTGATTATCGTGCAATTCCTTGCTCAATCATTCTTCCTTTGTCCACAACTTTCACTACTCGCTCCAAGGATTAAAGTGGCTTTTATCCTCCTGCTTTTAATCACTTCAGCCACAGTCATCATACACATATGGCAAAAAGCATACATTGGTATAAAATAAGATATGTTCGTTGGTCAACGGTCCAACATCAATGCTCTAATAAACCAACGACAACTGTATTTTATCGGTAAAACACCTTGCTTTTAAATCAAAAGTAGTTTGAATACCTGAGTGTTGCGTAGGGAAAGTAAAGATTTTCTCAATTAATTTTCGCTTGCATTAACCTTTGAAGGAAGCCAAAATACACACAAAAAACAAACCTACATTTTGATAAAAATAACTAAGAAATAAAACAATGGCCAAAAATCGCTTACTAAATTAGCAAAAACTTTACTTTAAATGCGCAAAAAAAAGTGATGAAAGGAGAATACGTATGATAACAGATCATTCTTCATCACCAAACAGAAGAAAAAAACAAGCAACGCTAAGAGCATGCAGGGCAGAAACATGGAGTATAATATAACTCACCGAGCTCAACGATAAACAAAACATTAGAATGCGATATGGCGCCTTTTATTGTTGCTGTTTCTTTTTGTTTGTTGTTACTGTATTTCAGAATACGATAAAACTATAAACAAAAACAAAACTTCAATCCTTTCTATTAGCAGACCTACAATAGTGGGAGACGAACATCACACCTTGTCAATACTTGGTGAATTGTAATTAATTTTCTGGTGTAACAGAGATCATTGCAATTAAAAAACATGTATTCCCCCCCCCCCCCCCCCCCCCCCCCCCCCCCCTCAAAAAAAAGGAAAAACTTTTTTTTTTTTTTTTAAATTATTATAAAATAAACATTAAATAATATTGTTTTTTTATTAAAAAGCCTCAAGAACGTCCCTTTGGCCTCGGCCATTCTTTTAATAATTCTCACGTTTTGGGTTATTTTGCCAAAAAAACACTCTGTCCTAAGCCGTTCCATACTTTTTTTTTTCNATATCTTAAAGTTAAAAATCAAATTTTACTTATCAAGATATTTTGTATATTCACGAAGGTGTATCCGGTTAGATGTTCTATATTTTTAAACTTGGACGAAAAAAAAAAGTATGGAACGGCTTAGGACAGAGTGTTTTTTTGGCAAAATAACCCAAAACGTGAGAATTATTAAAAGAATGGCCGAGGCCAAAGGGACGTTCTTGAGGCTTTTTAATAAACTGGCTTGTTTTCCCTGAGATCATTACAAACCGTGAAGTGAGGAGTATTTGATCATATCAGGGAAGCAACGAATGACCAAACTTTTGGGATTTATTCACAGACTCAAGAGAACAGTACAGTACCACACAAGTGAAACACGTCATTCTTTAAGAAATAAACTCACAGACTCAAATTCTAGCAACGGCAGGACAATAATCAACAGCAGAGAAATGTTCTGCTCAATAGATTTGTTCACATGGCCATTCTGAAGGATCTAACTGCATGCTCAAAGTACGAACCTGCCTTTTATGGCATAATAAACAGTAGCACTATAAAACATACTGTCCAGAAAACACAAGACAAGCTCGGATGTGAAAAAAGTAGGGCCATTTATACGAGGAAAAATAAGACGCGTCTAACATAAGACGCGCCTTAAATATGACGCGAACTTTCCGTATAAACGGCACATTTCGTCTAAAATAAGACGCGGCTTAGCTAAGACGCGTCTTATTAGATAAGACATGCTCGTATAAATGGTACAGTTCGCGTCTTATTTTTCCTCGTATAAATGGCCCTATTGTCTATCTACAAGGGGTCAAAGTCTGAAACATTTAGTAAGATGAAGAGTGTTATATAAGAAAGTTGTGAAGAAAAGGCATCTTCTTTGGTGAATATAAAAGAAAGAAAAGCCCATGAAATTCAAAACGCTCCCTCTTTTTCCACTAAACTGAAAGCAATCCTCTTACTTTAGACATTTTTCTCATGCATTTTTAGCCCTTTTTGTATAGCACTTTTTAGTTGTCTGGCTAACTACGCTTAACTGAAACAAATATCTAACATGTAATGATCCTCTACCACTGATTTGTCGTTGTTATAATACGTTGATAATTAACTAAATATCAAAAAATAAGGGAGCGTAGAATTAGTAATCATAAGCTCAGTGGTTTTCGTTGGGCCTCATCGTCATGAAGCAGTCATACTGTATATTCATTTAATTAGTTATGAAATATGGTAAAACAATAGTCTTGAAACCTGAAACTTGATAAAGAACTTACTAGAACCAGCAATCCATTCAATATAAATGTTTACGCTACTGTAGAAATAGCAACACTTGTGAAATATACTTGCAAAGTTTTTATTAAATTGACCTGCGAATTTAAGTCGAAAACTCTTGAAACAGAGGGCCGAGGGGTGGGAAGCACTTATATACTTAACTGGAGTTTATATTACAAGTTAAATTCCATTCACCTGTCGCTATTCAGACAGCTAATGCCTTAAGGTGTCAGTTCTTGCTAACAAATTAAGAGCCGTGAAATTGAAAGTATAATACTCTTGTCTAACAAAACTTTCACCGCAATTTCAGTCTAGTATTTCAAACTTTTAACACCTATAGAGAGATTGCAATCATTCAAGCAAAAACAAAAAACAGGAGTCAGTCATCAATGCTACCGTCTTTACGATCTGATGGTTCGCTAAATTCCAAGCATGCCTATCCCAACCCAACTACACGAAAATTTGTCTAGCATTTGCGGAAAGCTCAATGTGTGAAAATACCCGTGCCGGGGACAAGGTTATACTACAAAGGGAAACTGACTTAAACAACTCAGTAGATGAAACCCAAAATAAAACCAAAGAAAAAAATGTTAATTGTTTACTGTAGAAAGCGTTAAGAAAGACTGAAGAACGGACCGGAAAAAGGTATTTACCCAAAATAACAAGCTGACAGACTGATCTTGGGCCTTCGTTCAAGGCACTTTCTCATACCACGCTCAGAGATGATGAAGGTCACTTTCCCGAGGTAGACCTAACTTATGTTTGGTTCCTAAAACCTCTTTCACAATATAAAACCAGTTATAAGGGACGTCTGACTACCTCATAAAGCTTAAATTTGACAAACTGACTCAAGTGCAAGTATGACCGAGAATTTAAACATTACAAATCAACCAATTCAACCAACCAAATTAACCCCAAAACCGAGGTCGTTAATTAGCAGTCAGCATGCACAAAGCCTCCTTGAGCTTCTGAGTGTGCACAGTTCGGCAAAGGTTATTGACCTTAGTTACCCTGTGAATAAACAAATTCATGGATTGCCACATTGCACTTTTTAAATGCTATCGATATTGCACAAACACTTACATTTCAGTGAAGTCACTGACAGAGTAAGTAACAACAGGTCAATCGATAACGGATCAATATCCCCACACGTCTATTGGAATCACTAACAACACTCAGACACTTCACCGCAATAATCAAACAAACAATGACACTGGTTTCAAGGTATCGCTACAAAAAGAATCTTACAGTGGACACTTATGGAGGAGGAGTATATTACATATTCCAAGTGAAAGGTACCTTATTCCTAGCGGTCCACCAGCAGATCCATCAAATGACCCCTCCTGTAGCAAGTGTGCGACTGTGTAGTATGCATTGTAAATGGTTGAATCAGACAATGACTCTATTAAATACTGTTCATCCCAAGGAAGTCGAGTTCCTAAAAGGAAAATAAAAAGTCAAAAAATAAAGAAAATTAAAATGCAGAAGAAGAAGAAGAAGAAGAAGAAGAAGAAGAAGAAGAAGGAAGAGGAGGAGGAGGAGGACTACGTTCACCTTAACGATCATAATAAGAAGAGGAGGAGGGGGAGGAGGTGATGATGACGATGAAGATGATGAAGATGATCATGAAGATGATGATGATAATGATGATGACGATGATGATGACAAGCTACTACGAGTAATTCTGCAATCAGCGCAGAAAGAGAAAGGTCCTTTTTAGCGGCTTGAAAGTTAAAAACATGCCTCTGCTCAACAATGACGCAGGAAAGTTCCAGTAATCTGACAGTACTAAACAGCCACAACAACGTCGCCTTGGCAAATGAATTTGCTGATAATTGGAAAAGAAATTTCGGTACACTAAATGAATCCAATTTCATGACAGTGGGCCAGTAAACCTCGCCAGAATTATGATGCTGCCTTCTCTCACTTTTCTGTGCATGGTTACATACTTCAGTCTTTTCTTACTAACTCCTTCCTCGTTTGTTAAACTATGCTTGATGAGTTGTTGTAACTGTATTAAATCGGCACTTGGTTAATCGCACTTTACTGCAGTTCTTAAATATCTTTTGTTTCTTCGAATTAACGAAGATATCTTTTGTTTCTTTGAATCAATAAAATATATTAACATTTTGATGAGCGTTCATCAACCCCCTTTCCCACTTCAAAAGAGGTAAAGCGCCCCCCCGCCCCCTACTTTAAAACTTGCTCGGCGGGCCCTAGTGACGCAGTCTTGCAGGCGCAACCGTGAAGTAAATGCCGAAACAGGCCATTTCCAGAGTTGATTGGGCCTTAGTGTGACTAGTAGAACCTTGAGATCTCAAGGAAACGAGGGAACAAGTGCTTAAGCGAACTTTGGAAAGTGCGAAGAGAGGTCTGGGTGGTTTAAAAAACGTGAAAAGCAGGGATAACATCAGGAAACATTTCGTTAACCCTTATTTAGGGTCATTCGTCAGCTCAGAAGGATCCATTGGATATTTGTCATAGGACAGAAACGTCTTCATATCTTCAAAAAACTTCATCATAGCTGAATGAAACGATATGATCGAGCGAATACCATATTCCAACCACTCACGAAATTTCAATTGCGGTAGGTATAACAAAAGCTGAGCATGAATTGTTTGGACAATTAACCTGCCATTTACTCACCGAGACCATACGACCTTGAACACGCATGCTCGTGAATCCAGTCCAACGTGGCCTCAAAGTTCCGCCTGGTTTCTTCCGCAAATCTGTCACGCGAAGACAAGGAAATAAGCGATAATCATATTCAGTTTCTCCGTAACTCAAATTCATTCATTTTACTTCATTTAATCAAATTCGACTTTTTCACGAACAACTACAAAAAAAGTGTCTAACATTGTATTATCGACGGCCGCTTTAATTCCCTTCACATACATTCCTTGCTAAGACATCAGTGGTCACGGTCATTTGCGCTACAGAGGTCACGTACTCGTTAGGTTATGTCACGTTACTCAGCTTCACGGCTCAGAAGGATCCATTGGTTAACTTCTCATGGGACAAATTTTATCCTCAGTTGAAGTCAAAAGCTTCATCATGGCCGTTTACATCTCAAAGTTACTCTCGTCCCCACTTCCTTTCGCTAATCCTTCTAATATCTATTACAGTCGAACCTTCAACGCCTTGGGTCGTACCACTCCCTATAACCCGTAAGCGGGCATTTCATCACGATTCCAGCGATTGCACAGATTCATAACCATTCGGTAGTAAGAAACGTAAAAGACTTAGAGGCTCAAAAGATATATTCCACTAAAAACAACTCCCATTAAGATTTCGCTTTGAATTCGAGCGCAGGAAGCAACCCACTTTAAAAAAATATTTTACCGCCTGAATTTCAAGCATCATATATATTCTAAAACACTCGAATCACACGGCAAATATAAATAACTTTTTTGAATGGTATCTTGTTCTTATACGACAGGACATTTCAGATTTTCCATTCGTTTTGTTTTTTGTTTTTCTGGCTTGTTCGTTATCTCCCGCTTCCTGATCGAATGATATCGACAAACAAAAAAGAGCAAATATTTAAGTTGTCTGAAGTCACTTATTAACACGTACACAACAAAGGGCAGCACCCAACTGCAATAAAAGCGATTTGATTAGCTTAGCGAATGAAGGCATTAGCCGCAATCGTTTTCGTGCTGATAAAATCTCAGAAAATTACTTAATAATAGTAATAATTCCGTCATTTACCCTTGGCAGTATTTATAGCATTAATGCATTAAGGCTAGTGGGGCCGAGCAAATGCCTGAAACAAATAATTCAAATTAAACTTAACAGAGTTAAAAATCCCAACTGGCCGGAGGCAAACCATCTGGCGTTTCGCAAGCATGGCCGAGGATTTGAACTCGGGACTACCGAGAACAAATATAACCAGCGGTCAGGGGGAGACTTGAACTCGGGAACTCCAAATTGCAAGTCCAGCGCTCTAACCAATCGGACACGCTTCCTCCTATATTTGTACTTACGTTTCTACATCTTTCAAGGCGTCCCGCGTCGTGTTTTTCCAGGGTTCGTCACCATAATCTAAAAACCTAAGAGAGCGAGAAAAAAATAATAACACCGTATACTCCTTGCATGTTAACAATGACGCAGAACTCTTTCCGTGGAAAGATTGAGACTGAGAAATCTTGCCGATTCTGAAGCGAGATAATTTAAATTTCAAGCTGCACACCTGCGCCACGAATTATTTAAACTAAGCTGGATACTAATTGTGATAAAAGTTCCACACAACTGAATCGAAGAGGATGTAAAATGCTCCACACAAGGACTTGATGTACAGTCATTATCCTTCCCGTGTAAACATAGTTTGCCTTACCATTGATCACACAGGGCAACAACGCACTCATCCGCGGATCGAGAAATTACTTTTCTCTCTGGCTCCATGTAAATCCTTGCCTCATCCTGAAGACATAAGCAATCAAAGGATTTGTAATTTCCAAAGAAAATTGGATGATTTAGGGAACAAATTTATCAAAAGATTCAACTCGACAGAACAGGGCTCGAGTGTTGTGGGGTGTTGTGTGCAAATGTTACCTTATTCTGTTTCCTTACTCAAGTAAATGAATGAACAAAAACACTGAAACACAGCATCCAACAGCCAGATTTTTGGCGTTTATGGTAAAAGACAAAAGCATTAAAATCCGATGCACACTTACGCTGTCTATCATTTTCTTTTGCACAAGTTTTTTTACATCCTGAACTTTCTGCCCAGCAAATTCCCCAATGATGAGAGTTCCCTCATAGAAACCCTTTTTGTAAGTGAGTTCCTTGGCTTCCACCAGAAGGTCCTTATCATTTTGGCTCTTTATCTTGAGGTCATCACAGGCCTTTACCGCACACAGGTCTCCATAACCAGGCACCCGGATGATGGGAATAGGCTCATAAGGAAGGACCATTTCATCTGTAATACCGTACTTCTCTCTAAACGCCTTGAAATTCAATGACAAAACAAGAATGATTTACTGTCAGTGGAGTGGCGGGGCGTGACGCTATACAACCCTATGAAGTACTTTTCCGGTGAGTGGCGTTAACGAAACCAAAGTGCGAGCAAGACAGGACGGATTTACTTTTGACTGGTAAAATAGAAAGTGGCGCAAGAATATTTTGCCAATGAGACAGCGTAGGAATAAAAAACGAAAGCAGTCGCGCAATACTGAAAACCGTTTCAGTTCGGTAAAGTTCCGTTACCCTTGGCTGAGGAATGGGGAACACTGACAGTCTTTCACTGAGACAACTTGGTATTTAGAAAGTGTCTTATGTGTCAATTGCCAATGGACCTGCTAAGCAACGACACAAACGCTGAAAGTGACATCTCGCTGTCAGCATAAATTCAAGGTAGCTCCCTGGGGAGTCTTTGGGAGCAAACGTCCGATGCCACTTATGCGTAAAGGAGCCTTGTCATAGCATAGGAATTGGCCACCAAATTGAGTGGAAACAGAAAAGAAGGCACGCATTAACAAATAGAAGAAGATTACAACGGACTGCAATTGGGTTTTTCGAAATCGTTCAGTCTAAGAGTTATCATAGATTATCTCTGTAATTTGCTGTTTTACGCTGTTGTTGTTAATAGGTGTTGAATCACTGACCGGTTTGTTTTTCACGTCTCTAAGTGCTGCATAATCATCCGGGGCATCTGAAGGGACTGACGTCACAATACCGGTACCTGAGAATCAGCGACAACAAAATATGTACTCACTCCTTTAAAATGCCTAACCATTACATAACTTAGGAGGCGAAACAAATTCACAAAAGCTTTGAGCCGTTAAAAGAACAATCCTGTTTTGACAATTTGTCTCCTTGGTAACCTAGCGGTGACGCCGCGGGATTGACAGGAGCTGCTGTTGTACAAGTCTTACCTTTATCCTCTTTTATTGTCAGCATGGGAAGAGTATAAACTACTTTATGATGTGTCAGGGGAGCATCCAAAGGAATACCCATAATGTCCTACAAAACAAAATTAATGTTGAAACAGGAGTGAGAGTTTTTTAATTGAGTAATATGGGGTTAAAGTAACTACCGCGAAAACGTCAAAAAATAAAAGTTTCAAGAAACAAAACAAAACTGTTTAATAACAGTCGAACTCCGCGTTACGAACACCCGGTTAATACGGACACCTCGTTATTACGGTCATTTTTCTTTGTCCCTGGGAAAAGCCCTTTCATTTTCTCTCAATTTAACCCGCTTGATACGAACACCTGTTAATGAGGACAACCCACACTAATTTCTTGCCGGTCAACGAATTCTCATAGAAAGCCAACCTCGCTAATACCGACGCTTCATTGTCAACTGTGTGCTGTAATAGACCTTTTTTTTAAAGGTAAAAAATCCTTCAGTTGACAGCACGTAGATGTTCCCAGGGCTATCAAACACTGGATAGGTTGATTTGTAGACGTTAATTTTTGGCATCAAACGAGTTATGCAAAGAAGGGTATCGATTAAGCAATACCATAAACTAGCAATTTTTAAGTGTTTCCGTGGACTTGAGCCGCGTAATGACGACTTTATGAAGGTTAGAAAAGTTTAATTTGACGATGCTTATGTTCTCTTTTATTTCTTTGGTATTTTGTTATTATAGTAAAAGGGGCTTATTGACTTAAATAACATGACCCGCTTAATACCGGCAGACACTTTCTGTGGTGTCTCCAGTGTCTGTATTAACTGGGTTTGACTGTACATAATACTTTTGATAAACATAAAAAAGACACCTGTGTAAATTAATTGGGGATTACCTGCCCCTTTTTGATATCGTTTTTTGCCGAACAGATCTAATAAACAAATTCCGAGTCGGCAAATTTGGTGCTGTGTTAAACAGCCAAACATTCTAAGATTCAGTTTTGTAAAATATATCGATTGTATTGACCTCTTCTCTCAAATATTTAAAAATGTTTCCGCCCACCGCCGAAAAAATGCCCCTCCCCTCAAAGGGAAAGAAAATATGAAGTCTCTGAAAAAAAGGATCTTAAAATCCTGGTGGAGGAAAATTTAACAGTAACTTCATGTCTAATTCATACTGAAAAACTATATCTTCAAATCTAGATTTTTGTAATGCTTTTACTCCTAGCCTTTTCGTGGGTGTAATGAAACAAGTCTACAGTAGGTGGACTACTCACGCACTATAAATGAAGCTGTTTATCATCGCTTTCATTTACTAACCTGACCTGTCAGTTCAAGAAGAACGTTGACCACGCCCTCGTTAGGGGTGAAACCCTGGTAAGACATGTTCCTTGCTGCCCGTCGGGTGCTAATATAAACTTCATTCTCGATGTTCGTTGCAAAGGCGATATACTGTAAAAAGAAAATAAAAATTTAAGCTTCATTTGGGGAAGTTTTAGTGTCCTGTACAAAAGAGAAATCATACCACCCTTGCTCTTATAGAATAGAGGAAAAAACGGGCAAAAACATTTTCGTGGAAATTTTTTTAGACATAAAACTAAGCTGATGTTTTAGATTTTGGCAACAGAGCAAGATAAAGATTAGTTTACCAAACAGTGGGTAGCCGTTTCCAGGCACTCAGATAGTGGGGGACAGCGTAAAGAAAAATGAGCAGGAGGGAGTGGGAGTAGTGAGACTGAGAGGGCAGCGGCTTTCTTCTGCATATTTCCTCTGCTCTGCATTTCGAGCCATTTAATTCTTACACTTAGATCGGGCTTTTCAGGGAGGAGGGCCTGACACTCGGGCTATGCCATTCTCCATTATCTGAACGCTTGGAACAGGCTAAACAGGGGCAGATTTGGAAAGGATAAACAACAACGAGGTTTTGTTGAGGTATGTTCACTCATCCAGATTAATAGTGGATATCACCTACTTGCCATATGTGAAATAGGCCATTTTACAGTTATGTGCTCATTTCCCTGGCTTTTCAATAGAAGCGCGGCTGGCCCAGTGACCTTGTTTTGTTACAAACCTTCCTACTTTTCATGTGCAAATCGTAGTATTCTCATGCTAACAAGTCCGTGAACATGATCATATATACAGGGCTTCTGATATTTCGCGCGGTCGCGGACCCGCGAAATTCCCAAAAAAACGCGAAATACCGCGAAATCCGCCAGAAATATTTCCAAATACATGTCGGCAAAACATATTTAATACTTATCTTGGCTATTAGACCGGTTTTATTCGCCCCAAACGTCCAAATTCAGCTTGAAACTTCGTCACTGCAACGAGTAAACAACGTCCCAAAACTACCAGGCGTTTTTAGATAAACGTTGCGAAAAACTGGGCACTAACCATAATGTTAATGGCTTTAACATTCGCTCATTTCTAGAGCGAACTGTTGTTGAAAGAGCAAATGATTATCCCTGTTTAAAAAAACGTTCACCAACGTTGGTCATATCGACGCAAAATTAATCGATTTTAGCGAAATTTGCCAAAAAAAACCCCCAGCGAAATCGGTTGTTTTTTACTGATTGTTTCTTGGCGAAGTTTCCCTCGAAATTTCCCCTGAAATCGGCCGATTTTCCTAAAAATTTGCCTCTGAAAATTCTTCGAAAATTGACTTTTTTCCGCTAAAATCCCGCGAAATGGGCCGATTTTTCTGCGAATTTTGACTTTTCTCCCGCGAAAATCGCCCGAAATCGGCCGATTGTTCCGCGAATTTTGACTTTTTTCCCGCGAAAATCGCCCGAAATCGGCCGATTGTTCCGCGAATTTTGACTTTTTTCCCGCGAAAATCCCGCGAAATCGGCCGATTTTTCCGCGAATTTGCCCCCGAAAATCCCGCGAAATTTTGCTTTTTTTCCGCGAAATATCAGAAGCCCCGGTTAATATACATATGAAAAACAAGACGCTTTGTAACAAAACAAGGTCACCGCCAGCGTTGCTTCAAAGGCCAGGGCACTGAGCACAGAAACTGTAAAATGGCCTATTGTATCAGATGCAACGTGTACAAATAACAATATAATAATAATAATAATAATATTCTTACCGTAATGTCTGGTTGAACCCAGCAGTTTGTCTGCCCGTACATTGTTTCTGGTCTCAGTGTTGCTGCCATTAGGAACACATTCTTTCCTGATAAGGCACTGATAATGTAACAAAGAATCATGTCGTCAACCAAAACTTCCACTAGTTAATAGACTGATACATCTATTCTGTTACCTAATTAATTAACTAATACAAAACAATACAATATATCACAACAAAACACAACATAGCCCAACACAACAAAACGCAACACAACGCAATGCAAAGCAAAACAATACAATAAACTTTATTAATCTGTCAGTCAGACAGATTGAGACAGTAAGAAAGTCATCCAAGCAAGTTAATAACAATAATCATTTAGGTCAGTTAGCCAGTCACAACCAAGTAAAAAGTCAGCCAGGCAGTCAGCTGTGAGTCAGTTGCTGGTCATCTTAATCAGTTAGACAATTGGGGAGTTTATAAGTGTGCATTAGGGGCTGTGTATATGCATATAGGGATGACGAGCCTAGCACCTGGGAGATCCTGGAAGGAAGAAACAACTTTTTGTCGGGTTACCACAGAAATTTTAGCCCGGGTGATTAACAAGTAGAAAAGCAATTAAAGATGGCAGGCGACAATAGCAAAGATGTAATTCAGGCCCCTCTACTTTCTTTACGAGCATTAATAACTAACTTTCAGTAGTGGATGGCAGTTCTTTACAAAATGGGGGCACCAAACGAAATTGTTGGCTTTTTTGTTTTGGTTATCCACTGAGCCACCCGCTGCTCTTTTTTGTCTGGATTATCCTTAATACTTAAAAAGGGTCTTCCTAGCAACATGGTGCTAGTATCTCCCTACCTCTCAGCTAAGAATATTCTAGTACTAGGAAGATCCCAGCGCTAGGCACAAGTATAAAGCTTAGCATGTAAACTGAATACAGAAAATATGAGGCAATAGGATGATTCGCCTTCTAGGATCTTCCTGGAGCTAGGATAATTCTCCCTCCATGTAAAGAGCCCAGGTCCATAGTCTGTCAGTCATCAGATAAACAAGTAGTGGGTTAATTGGTCTGCAAGTTTATCAAACAATCACATGAAGAAAGTGCTTACTGTAGAATAACACTGCCTGCTAATGCATAACAAATTATACCTGAGTTTTCCTTTATACGGTTCACAAATCTTCATTTTAATTCCAGTGTACTCCTGTGGTGCTACGCCCTTGTGAGAAATGTGATAACAACATGAAGCAAAATTACATTAGTTCCAGCTCAAAGCTAAATTAACAGTATATGACATCAATACATCTAAACTGATGGCTTTTACAACAGTTGTCTGCTAATGACTTGATTCACCTAATGATTAATCTGTATGCAAATGAATACACCATAATATTAAAAAACTCTTGCCCAAAAAATAAGATAAATGTAAAAAAAAAATTGTTCACGACAGTTATCATTCATATTGATCAGTTAAAAAAGATACAAAAACAGTCAAAAACAGTTTTCAAAACGTTTTTCAGGCAAACAACTAACAGTATCTTCTTTTTATTTTTACTTTTATGGTTCAGTCAATCTAAGCATACCCATTTCCCACCCTCTGCCTCCCCTCCCTGCCATTTGTCTACCATTAATTTGTCTCTTGTCTTGTATCAATGGCTGGATCCAGCATGGGGCATTTGCAGTTTGTTCTGTTGTGGGTGAAGGAAAAAGACAAATGCCCGGTGTGGCGAATGAGATAAACATGCTTGTAATTGACATGAAGGAGCAATAAATACAGTACAAACTTAATTGAGGTCATAAGTTAAAAAATTTCTAATAAGCTTGGGTCAAAATATTTGCATATTGATACAAGTTGCCAAAATTGTAAGCAAAAGTTTTCACCACCTTCTTTGTTTGATATCATGAAAATAATGCCACAGTTATAGCTACTGGCTGGTATGCAGTAAAGAATTAATACTGGCAAGCCTCAAAATGATACATGAAGGTACAAGACAGGTATAAAGAAGAAAAAGTGATGACAGATATACAATAACATTGTTCCATCTAGAGAGATGAAATCATACGCATCAGGCCTACCTCTCCAGTCTGTCTGTCATGATCCATGCAGGGTTGACCATCCTTGGGTGAGAATATTGTGTACCTGATATGAAAAAATTCAATTGAGCAAATAGCCATTATCAATTAATAATTAACTGGATAAAATTATATTATATTTATCCATGAAAAACCTCATTTTGGTTTCCTTTTGCAAAGTGCTCACAAAAGCTATCAAATTTAAAGATATGGGTGAACAATTGGCTAGCTTATTAAAAGAATACTGTGTGGTGCTTCAAGTGACCTATAGAAGTCATGAACCCCCTACCTCCCACCAATTTGAAAATATGTTTCATCAGGAATTCTCCAAATACAACAATTAACAAAAATTGCCAAGTACTTTCTCATTTGATATTATAGTAACACAAATTAGTGAATGATATATTTTTTTAAATTTTGCCTCAGAAATATTATTTCCAGTAGCTACATATCGTTCACCATTTTTTCAAACAACTCAAAAGATGAGATTCCGTTAGTTATATTTCTGGTTTTTCCTCAAGATCAGGTCTGACCAAGGAATAAAGTCAACTTGATAAACAGTAGACAAGTTACTCATTTTTTTACTGAGGATATGATTTTTAAACACAATTTATACTAAGCAAGAGAATCTACCAGAGGGAGTCTCTTTAGACTTGCTACAAGTTGACCTTACAAGTTTCAACCATCGTCCTGCGCCATATTAAATTGGATGAAGGACTTTTTGAAAGTCTAGAGTCTCTTATTCACTTAATGTTAGAGCTAACATAATTATGTCACTGTATTAAATACCTTTTTCCAAACTTGACTTTACCGCGATCCTTCAGAGTCCAAAAGTGCCATCTAACAAATGAGTCATAATATGGATTGACGTGTGTGGTGATGAAAGTACGTCTCCAGTCCACCTAATATAAGTAAAAGGTTTGCTTTTCAGTCAGAATTACAAAGTATAGAATGAACAAATAATTTGCAAAAGCATCAGAATAAGCCTGATTGAAGTCCTCTTTAGGAATTCCAATTATTAAAATACTTTAAAAACTTCATATCATAGCTAAATAACTTACTATTACCATTAAAGTAAATATTCACTGTTCATCTGTAATATCCAAGGGTGGATCTAATTTGACATAATTTTTACGGCGTACGTGCATACAATTTACTTTCACATATAAAATAGAGGCAATGTATGAAAAGTCACACATAAACTTAAAATTTGAACCTCACTCAACTTCACATTTAAGCTTGACACCTTATATCTTGCCTCTATTTTTGTGAGTAAAATTTATGTGCATGTACACATAAGTAGAGATTACGCGACGATGGACATCCACCTTAAAAGTTCATAGAAAGTCTATTGTGTACATATTTAAAGCTCCCATCTCACACACTTTATAGTTTACAATGTACTCTGTTTGCATCTGTTATGAGTTTTGAATTTGGGGTATTGAAGTATGAGGACTTGCAAACACACTTAAAACCAGTATAATCTACATAAAAGAACTAATTTTTCCAGTCAACTTTTATGGTATGAATACTTTGTTGGCTTACCTTAAGTCCCATACATTGGAGGTCTGATTTCGCTAAAGGAGGGAAATATTGTAGCCAATGATCAGCATCAGCAAACCTGAAATCAATTCAATAAAAAATATTGGTAACATTCAGCTTTCCCTGAATAAAATGAGCTTTTCGGTTGGAAAACATGTTGTTTTTATTTATTGCTTTTATTGCCATGACAAAGAAAGCTCCTATTGTTGTCATCAATATTTTGTCTCAATGATGATTATTTTTGTATCCACCCACTGCACCATGTCAGAGCCTTTATATCCATCTTGTTTGTCACCATCCATAAACACTAGTCTTGAAATTGCATGGTAAAGCCTTCTCCAAGTAAGTTCTTTAATAAAGTTCTTTATTGTATTGTAAAAACTTTGGACACTTAAAATTTTACACAGTTTTATTTTTGATACTATTTTTGACTGAAATTAAAATCATCCCCTTATTTTTCACCAATAATGTAGGAATTTTTTTTCAAACTGATGGCACATTATCCTGAAGTCCACTCAGTTGTGTAGGGGCTGTAACCTCAACACATGCACATGGCTGAATAACTATTGCAATACTATCCAAGAAAAAGAGGTCCTTACTTCTTAATTTCCTCATCACCTAAGCCTAAAGCCTGCATGATCTGCCACTGATATTCCAGACCACCTGTTTTTGCAGCAATTTTGCTTTTCATCTGTGAGAAAAAAATTCATGACGATAATATTTTGTCTTGACTCTCTTATCTGAATGCCTCCACTACCAAATCCCTAATTACGACATCTTTTGCTTTACTTGATGTAAACAACTACAGCCTGTTCGAAGAGGCCTAATCTCTCATAAGCTTTCCATATTTTTTACGAGATCTCCTCCTCACCATTTCCATCTCTCTGATCACATCCATCTTATGCTTCTCGTACTTTTACTTTTGTGTGGCAAAAAAATAAATAAAATTAATTAATTACTTAATTAATTAAAGATGGTACAGAATACAGACTTTTACATACTATAATCATAAATTAAGATGCACTTGCATCTGTTACAGACTTTTGCTATGAATTCAAATTAAGCATGAATGCATCCCTTGTTGATCAAGGAACTCATAAACATTAAAGTAATACTTTTCTAAATATTTTGACTTAGGGAGAAAAAATTCCAAAGCCCAGTAGCTTTTTTCCCAACCCACTCTCCATATATATAAATAATGAATGGCCCCTAATGCCCTCTGGTATATTTCCTAGTAAGTAACTTTTAAACATTAAAATTTTTCTAATTAAAAACATGATGTCAGTTTCTCATATTTTGAACATCTGACAATTAAATTGTAGTTGAAATATAATTTGATATCACCACCTCTTCTCACTGCCCTCTCTTAGCATATAACTTTACGCTCTGCCCACCCCACACTCCCATTTTACAACCCCCTCCTGATAATTTTATTGTACGGTCCCTTATGCAGTGCAGCATACCTACTACAAAAATAACTGGTGTTGACATACTCTCATACAAACAAACCTCTCAACCAATCAATCCAAAACACCCATAGTATCTTAGTCATTTTTGTGTTACCTGCTTTGCTTCCTCTTTTTCTCCACTGACAGGGAATTTGGGTGGAAATCCAAATTCAGTCATTTCACGTTTTAACTTGTCAGCACAAGCCTGAAAAAATAAATCAGAATTCTGTCAGTGCAAGCACAAACTGAAACTAAACTATTAATAATGGTTGTTGTGAGGTGTAAAAACCATGCGGTGTGCACATTAGTAAAACATGGGGGGGTTCCTGGCAGCCACTCCCCTTCTTTAGCCTTTGGACCATTCATTTATCCCCATCCCTCCCCCCTTTTATTTTTCCACTGATAAATGAGTGTGACAGGTGCCTGCTTCCATTTGCATGGGGGCTAATGGGTGGAAGGTGCAGGTTTACCAGCCATGGGGATGTAACTCTGTCAAGGGGCTGCTGGCGGCTTACCAAAAAATGGAAGCCCCTGGACATCCTGGGGCACCCAACTCCAATAAGCAATGCAGTTGTTAATGACAAATATGTTAAAATTGCATGTCAAAAATGTGTTAAGCTTAAAAAAATTTTTTTAAAAGTCTTCCTCCAGAAAAAAGTTCCATAATACAGTATAAACACCCACTAATAAGAACCTGCAAATTAAGAACCTCCTGGCAGAAATTTGCCACTTTAATACTCAAATACCTACTTTAATACAAGAACCTGTTTAGCAAAGCAAGATCAAGCAGATATAACTTTGAGTTGTAAATTTAAGAATAACAAGAACATACTGCATTAAACTGTATATAATATCCAGTAATCAGTTTTGTTAGGGTTATGATAATACAATAATTGTGAATAAATGAAATGTATATTTATTTTTCTGCTATCAACATTTAATCCATTATCTCCTTCACAAAAATTACGAACCTAATAAAGAACCTACTTAGCTAGCCTAAATTGCCGATAAGTACCCCAAAACATAAGAACCTATTTTGCAAGACTTCAAAAAAAGTAGGTTCTTATTAGTGGGTATTTACTGTATTGGTGCAATGTACGAAAAATTAAGTGCTTTGACCATATAATTTTTCTTGAGAATTACAAGCAAAGATTTACTAGAAGCTTGAGCACAATGTTCTTGATAGAAAACACACCAAAAAGAGTTCAAGAAAATAAACAGGTGACAAATCATTTAAGACTTAAATGGCAAAAGCAACATTTTTAAAATCAATTTGCTTGACCACTAGAAGCCAATGTAATTCTTTCAGCTATGGGTGTAATATAATGCTGTGATGATTCAGTCCTAGTACCAGGAAGAAGGATACACATGCAGCAGAGTTCTCAACATACTGCAACCTCTGAATCTGGCTTTGTGAAAGACCAGACCGGAGAAAATTACAATAATCTAACTTTGACGGTACAAGTGCATGAATCAATGTCTCACAGTTCTTGAAAGATATGAATGTCCTCATTCTAACTATATAAGAAAAAGAGATGATAAAAAATAATGCAGATTTACAGGTAACCTGTTTATCCATCAAAACTAGCTTATTGAAATGAAAATTTAGGAACTTAAAGAAAATAAACTGCTTTGGAGCCATTTTAATTTAAAGTCCACAAAAACTGTCAGTTTAACATAGTTTTGCTTTGACCATTCCAATAAATCATTAACAAAGACTCACTTTGATTGGCATTCCTGTACAGTGCAAACCAAAGGGAAACAGGCAACGTTTTCCTTTCAGTCTTTCATAACCAGTAGCAAACTGACAAAAAAATTATATATAAAATAATAAACAAATTTATAAATGAGTTAAAGTAACCGATGACAGTAAACTTAGCTTAATGCAAATCTATTAGCATCTACAACTACATACATTGTAGAACAACTCTTATTTATTTATTTTTTTCCATCTATTAATTTTAAAACTTATAGAATATGTTAATGAAACAATCTGATAAAGTTAATCCCCCAGCTGAGCAGCCCTACACAAAAGGACAGGCTCATGTATCTAGAATGTTGACCATGGCAAGCTTTAGTCTGCCAAAATGGCTTTGCAGCATATTCGAGTAGCAGTGCAGGCTTTATGCATTTCCCCAACCCAACTTACACCTCATGTTGTAATAATAATTTAACCTGTATGACATGAATCTGGTATCTAGTGACTTGGAGCTGGATTGCGGGGATTTGCCAACCATGGTAGCAATATTCAACTTTGGCACTGGCTAGCCCAAGAAAACAGCCAACATTTCATGATTATGCCACCATTCGTTTCCCTGCAAAATAACGTCTGAGGAATGAGTGCAGAAATTCCATGCTGATGGCCAAAATACCCCAGATCTGGGTTATGACATGTCAAGAGTATGGAATTTTTGCACTCATTACGCATGCAGACATCAACACTGAGAAACCAGAAGTAGCATAGCAAAAAAATGGTCAGTCACAATTGAAAGCCCCTAATATCTCAGGCAATGCTGAGTATACCTTGCAGTTAATCGAGGAGCTAAAGCAGATTATAGTCAATTCTCACCTCAGCCTTTAAAAGGAACCCATGAAAAAATGGACAGCCAGAATTGATCATGAAAAGAAAGAAAAAGAAAACTTATTTTTAATAGCATTGAATTGTCATGCACAAATGACATGCACTAGCTAGAGTAAAACACCGTCATTAAAATATAAGGGACGTTCCAGGTAAGGGCAAAAGCAATAATAATATTATTTAATTCATTTTGTTATGGAGCAATACAAACTGCTTATTAACCTTAGGGAAATCTCAGACTGAGGCCTTGATGTATAGTGAGGTCAATACATCAAGGTCAAGGTTTGAGATTTCCCTGTAATAACCAGGTGGACAAGGTTAATAAGTGAGTTATATATAATATTGCCTTTTTAGCATTATTCTAAAATGATTACAATAAAAAAACACACGAAGTAATTGTCAACATCTGTGCATACAAGCTGAGGTTATTCGAGGTTGTGTTTACTGAACAGAATGAACCTGGTGATGCAATCGAAACCACAAGAAAGTTTCTTTGACAACAACAAATTTTGGACCTGAGCCCACAATCAATAACCAATAACTGGTCAGTGGATAACTTAAATCACACGTCACCTCAATGAGTTGTACACTTGAGCCCATGATATAGTCATGTGACACTGGTCAGCTGATAACATTTTTTGACAGCTGTCAATTGACCATAATATGGATTCCACTATAAAGTTTTGTGTTTAAAAAAACATATTGTATTTGCCTTAGACACCTAGCTAGTAATTATATAATGCCCAGAGAAAATATTGCCTGCTTAGCAGCCAATCAGAGCACATGTTCTATTGTAGCCACATAATAAACAAGCTTTCATCACAGAGAAATGTTTGACAGATTCACACACAGAATGCAGGAAACCTGCAAGGCCCGCAGTTTACAAAAATAAAATGAAATATTTATTATAGTGTAATTAAACTCTAACTTTGAAAGTGTGTTTCTTTGTTTAAAAAGATTTTAACATAAAAGTAGCAAACAACAGCCAAGAAAAGTTTACAGTTCCACATGCTCCTCATATACAACATGTAGGATTTCTGAGCCATTTTGACTCAGACTGGATTTTATTATGAAGAAGTTTGTTGGAAAAAGAAAGGGTAAATATACATGCATACTAAAATTAATACTGTAGTAACCCATCTTGCTGATATATATATACTTTTTACTTGTAAACAATAAACTATTCCCTTCTAGATTCGTAATGAAAAGTTTTCCATAATTTTATCCTACTACACCTTTGAAAGAGTAAATGTATGTCCCAGATGAAGTCTTCCATTCATGTAAGGATAAGGAAATGTGACAAAAAACTTTCCCTTACTGCAAATAACAAGATGAAGATCAATTCATTCAATGACTATTAATCATCCATGTTTACATTCTATTTAACATCCTGTACAATTAAACACTGTAGTTTAGAAAAAAAAACAAGAAAAAAAGAAACTACATGGACATGTATAATTTCAATGTTAATGATGAGTAGTGGCTCAAGTCACGGAAGGGGGGGGGGGTGGTACTGCCATTGCCATATATGGGCTATATAGGTATGTGCCGCTGTGAAGGGTTGGTTTTCAAGCAGTTTACTCTAGGATAGGGTATATAAATCAGAGCATTTGGGTCTAGAATTGGGAATCATTTTTCAGGAAACTGATCAGTTGGTTGAAGTTTTTATCTAGACTAGGGATTGTGGTATAAGGTTTTGTTTTGGCTAGGCTACTGTGCTAGTGACCTCACTAGTTTCTGGAAAACTCTAGGATAGGGGGGATTTGGGGAATTTACTCTACTATGGGGTAGCAAAATTCAGCTGAACTAGCTCTGGTATAGGTTAAGGGTTCCAGGGTTCCAGGGTTCCAGGCCCAGGGGCCCCACTCACATTTTTTAATGACGGGGGGGTTCGACAGAGGTTCATATTTTATACCCCAAAAAATCCCAACTTCAGAATTTCTCTACCCAAAAAAATCCCTACTTTTTTTAGCATACCCAAAAAAATCCCTCAGTGTTTTTGCATCAGCAAATTTTATTATTTATCTTCTGGAAAGCTAAAACATGCCAACTTCAACTTTGGTTTTGGTCAATAAAATCCCAACTTCAGAATTTGTCTACCCAAAAAAATCCCTACTTTTTTTAGCATACCCAAAAAAATCCCTCAGTGTTTTTGCATCAGCAAATTTTATTACTTATCTTCTGGAAAGCTAAAACATGCCAACTTCAACTTTGGTTTTGGTCAAGAACGAAACTATAAATTGCGCTTATGTTATAGTTGATTTGAGCTGATGAAAAATACAATACCCCAAAAAAATCCCTGTGTTGTTTTTGCGACCCAAAAAAATCCCGGCGTCTTTCATAGACCCAAAAAAAATCCCTTTTGGCCAAAATGTCAGACCCAAAAAAATCCTTCGGACCCCCCCGTTATTAAAATATGTGAGTAGGGCCCCTGGGGTTCCAGGGTCCTAGCCGCACATTCCCACCCAGAAATTCCTGATCAGGGATCAATGCAATACTTACTTAGCTTCAGAGGAACCAGGCTACAGAAACAAAAAAAAAGGATTAATATAATAATAAAACAATCATTACAGTGACAATATCGGTATAATAAGGCGGGTGACAAGATCAGAAGAGTCCATAGTCCTAATCTCCAGCTTGTTTTTATGCAAGGTTAATTGTATAGCCTTTTGTAGCCAACATTAGCTTGGAATTTCCAAGAAGCAAGAACGAATAAAATGCATAGAACATCATCTGATCATGCAAGTTTAACCTTCTGTTATTCAAAATCTGATCATGTACCTTTTGACCTTCTATCACATGAATTGAAACTTATAAAGCAGCAGTATTAATATTGCATTGGAGCAAGTTAGAACATTGTGACCTTCGATCAGAGGGTATATGGGAAGTATTTATTTAATCATTTAAGAGAATGTCATCATTCTTACGAGAACAGCATCACTTTCAAATGCCTTGCTTTCTGCCCATCTTTTCTGGATTTGTGCCTCAACCTCCTTTAGATAGTCAACTTTTGCCGTGCTTTTTCTGTCAATCTATATCAGACAAGTAAGTAATCATAAATATAGTGTTCAGACATAAATTCAAAGTTACTGTCATTTACATGCACAGTATAATTATTTTGTCAATGTCAAACCTGTTTTTGTGCTACTTATTTGCAAAACTAACAAATGAAAACGATTTTCCACGGTCTATTAATAATAAAATAATTGACAAGTCTTTAACATAGTTATTTGATTTAATGGCTGCAGCATTGCAACCTGTTAGCATTTCCAATGCCTTGCTAGCTGATTCAATGGCAGCGTTTATTTAAAAGTCCCATTTTCTTAAATCACTGACAATAATATTACCCCAAATCATTTCGTAAATACAAGTAATACATGTAATTTGTAAACAGAAAGATATTTTAAGTTCTAATGGCTGGCATTTTGCTGCTCAAGTATTTAGAGGTTAATTCAAACAAAGGCAGCAGCAATGTCACATTGCCTGGTGAATTGTCAAGGGTGGATTTGGTGAGCATGCCTAAATTCAGGGCTGCAAATAATTTTATATCCCTTGAAAGGACATACGTCCCACTAAAACACAATACACCATCTTGGTCGGACAAAACAAAAGTTTGGTCAGACATCACCAAAAAAAGGTTGAACTTTATATCCATACAATTACCGAGCTTATTGTACCTAAATAATGCAAGCCGTTTAATTTTCAGGCAGAAACTTTTGTCAAGTAATGAATAATGCAATTTTATCTTCAGAAGCATTGCAACAACAGAATACCACACTGCTGCGAATAACTTGTGAACTGTTTTCAATTCATAGCAGAAATTTACTGTGATGACTCTCAAAAATATGAACCAAAAGAAATAATTTGCTACTTTTCGAGAAGCATTATGCTACCTTTCAGGTAAAATAGAGGACATACTACGCTAATGTAAAAAAAACTTAATTACCCAAGTCAATGTTGCTGCATGACTCTGAGATCGTCCTTAACACAAAGTAAGATTTACTCAGATTTTTAACTCTTCCTTACAGTAAAATGATTTACAATAAAAACATTCTCCCTCTCAACAAAGGTGGGATTTCGTCAGACAGTCGCAAATTTTGGATTTTTGGGCCAATGTCCAATGATTGACTGTTATTTGCAGCCCTGAAATTCACTCAGTAAATAAGAAAGTGCGATTTCATTGATGTGTTTATAGAAGAAAACATAATGAACAAAGTTAAGGCATACTTGGACATGGGGCCATCCAAATACATTACATGTAGATAGTTTGTCAGACTTAACAGCATGGCCCTCAATTTATTATACATTCAGCACATTCTTTGAAGCTGTTAAACATTTAACTACATTAAATGAGGTCAAATGTTTAACCGCCTCAATGAACGCGTGTGAAGTGTTATACAATGTCGTACATGCCACGTACAGTCAAGAACATGAGATGAAGAAAGCAGACACTTACTCGACCAGTATTAAGCAGTAAACTGTTTTAATTTTAAACTCTATTACCCAGCCAATGAGACTTAATAATTGTGGGCACATGACCTACTTGATGCAAAAGTTGTGAGATACAGTTTAAACTCTGGGCAGAGTATGAGAGAATTAGCTAGAAAGCCAATAATTTGATGTGACTTGCACATATGAACAAATATGAACAAAAAGAGATATCTCGCCTCTTTTTGAGAAGCATTATGCTACCTTTGGGGTAAAATAGAGGAAACTACGCTAACAAAAAAGACTTAATTACCCAAGTCAATGTTGCTTCATGACTCTGAGATCATCCTTAACAAAAAGTAAGATTTACTCAGATTTTTAATTCTTCTTTACAGTAAAATGATTTACAATAAAAACATTCTCCCTCTCAACAAAGTTGGGATTTCATCAGACACTTGCAAATTTTGGATGGCCAATGTCCGATGATTGGCTATTATTTGCAGCCCTGAAATTCACTCAGCAAATAAGAAAGTGCTATTTCATTGATGTGTTTATAGAAGAGGACAGACTGAACAAAGTTAAGGCATACTTAGACACGGGGCCATCCAAATACATTACATAGATAGTTCCTCAGACTTAACAGCATGGCCCCCACTTTATTATACAAGTCATTCAGCACATTCTTTGAAGCTGTTAAACATTTAACTAACATTAAATGAGGTCAAATGTTTAACTGCCTCAATGAACGTGTGTGAAGTGTTATACAATGTCGTACATGCCACAGTCAAGAACATAACATGAAGAAAGCAGAGACTCACTCAACCAGTATTAAGCAGCTAACTGTTTTAATTTTAAACTCTATTACAAGGGTTAATACTTGCAGTCACATAACCTACTTGATGCAAAAGTTATGAGATGCAGCTTAAACTCTGGGCAGAGCATGAGAGAATCGAATTAGCTAGAAAGCCAATAATTTGATGTGATTTGCACACATTTGATTGGACTCACAATGTCTGCAAAGTTACCAAGCTATTACAATATCATTGTGATGGGACCAAATAATTTCTGTCGTTTATAAATTTTCAGGCAAACTTTTGTCAAATAATGAATAACGCAATTTTATCTTCAGAAGCATTGCAACAACAGAATACCACACTGGTGTGAATAACTTGTGAACTGTTTTAAATTTATAGCAGAAATTTACTGTGATGACTCTCGAAAATATGAACCACTGGTGTGAATAACTTGTGAACTGTTTTCAATTTATAGCAGAAATTTACTGTGATAACTCTCGAAAATATGAACCAAAAGAAATAATTTGCTACTTTTCAAGGAGCATTATGCTACCTTTTGGGTAAAATAGAGGAAATACTACGCTAATGTAAAAAAAAACTTAATTACCAAAGTCAATGTTCCTTCATGACTCTAAGATCGTCCTTAAAACACAAAGTAAGATTTACTCAGATTTTTAATTCTTCCTTACAGTAAAATGATTTACAATAAAAACATTCTCCATCACAACAAAAGTGGGATTTTGTCAGACAGTCGCAAATTTTGGATGGCCAATGTCCGATGATTGACTGTTATTTGCAGCCCTGAAATTCACTCAGCAAATAAGAAAGTGCGATTTCATTGATGTGTTTATAGAAGAGGACAGAATGAACAAAGTTAAGGCATACTTGGACATGGGGCCATCCAAATACATTACATAGATAGTTCCTCAGACTTAACAGCATGGCCCTCACTTTATTATACAAGTCATTCAGCACATTCTTTGAAGCTGTTAAACATTTAACTAACATTAAATGAGGTCAAATGTTTAACTGCCTCAATGAACGTGTGTGAAGTGTTATACAACGTCGTACATGCCACGTACAGTCAAGAACATAAGATGAAGAAAGCAGACACTTACTCAACCAGCATTAAGCAGTAAACTGTTTTAATTTTAAACTCTATTACCCAGCCAATGAGACTTAATACTTGCAGTCACATGACCTACTTGATGCAAAAGTTATGAGATACAGCTTAAACTCTGGACAGAGTATGAGAGAATTAGCTAGAAAGGCAATAATTTGATGTGATTTGCACACATTAGGTCCCCTGTTATTCTTAGTATATATAAATGATCTATGTAATGTGTTAAAGGTCTTAGAGCTGATACATCATACTATTTGCTGATGACACTAATATCTTCTATTCGCATACTGATGCTTCCTATCTTATGGAAGTTGTAAATTTAGAATTGAAAAAGATAACATGTTGGTTATATAAAAATAAGCTATCTATTAATGTTAAGAAATCTAATTTTATCATATTCAGACCGAGACAAAACAGGCAAACACTTGATTTAGCTGTTAACATTAGTAATTATTCGATTGATTGTGTTAAGGAAGCTACTTTTCTTGGTGTAATTTTGGATGAACATTTAACATGGAAATCACATATACATAATGTTGCTCGGAAAGTGTCTAAAGCCATAGGTATAATTTATAAATCAAGTTTTTGCCTTAATAATTCCTCCTTACAGATGCTTTATTTTAGCCTTATCGACCCATACTTATTCTACTGTGTGAGCGTCTGGGCATCGACCTACCCATCAAACCTCAGAAGATTAATCACACTTCAAAAACGGGTCGTAAGAATAATGTCGAGGAGTGCTTTCGATGCTCACACTGACCCCTTATTTAAAAATTTAAAAATTCTGAATCTTGAGAGTATCTACAAACTTCAAATAGGAAAATTTATGTATCAATACAGATCTGGCTTACTTCCTTATAGCTTCAATAACATGTTT